TCCTTAATACCCATCACCCAGTTAGCCCATCCTCCTACCTGCCTTCCCTCCAGCAACCTTCAGTTTGTTTTCTATAGTTAAGAGTTACTTAGTTTGCCTCCGCCTCTGTTTTTATCTTACTTTCTTTTTCCTTCCCTTCCCCTATGTTCATCTGTTTGGTTTCTTAAAGTCCACATGTGAGTGAAATCATATGATAATTGTCTTTCTCTGATTGACTTATTTTGCTTAGCATAATACACTCTGCTTCCATCCACATCATTGCAAATGGCAAAATTTCATTCTTTTTGATGGTAGAACTCCCTCTTCTGTGTTCCTCTATTACCTTGTGCTTTTCTCCTCATCACTTAATCTCATAGGGACTAGGTTTTATTAGGCTTATTTTTTTTTTAAGATTTTATTTATTTATTTGAGAGAGAGAGAGAGAGAGAAACAGCATGAGAGGGGAGAAGGTCAGAGGGAGAAGCAGGCTCCCCGCCAAGCCGGGAGACCAACGTGGGACTCGATCCCAGGACTCCGGGACCATGACCTGAGCCGAAGGCAGTCGCCTAACCAACTGAGCCACCCAGGCACCCTTATTAGGCTTATTGATGTGTAGCTAGTACTCAGTAAATGTCTAGTAAATGAATACTATGTAGATTGTTTTACAGTATGGTTTTTTGGCTAAACTTTTAAAAACGAGGTTTTAGGATTAAAGGAAAACATTGCTCTTAATTTATCCTTCCCTGCCCGACTTCTGATATTAATATGCTATTTCTTTACTATTGTAGAAGCCAGGATTCTTTTGGTTGTAAAGTAGAGAAACCCAGCTCAAAGTAGGGTAAGCTAAAAGAGGATACTAAGGTGTTTCACAGAAACTACAGACAGGAAGGCTTTGGGAACAAACCAGGCGCTTGAAGCCTCAGGACTCTTTCCAGCTCTTATCTAAGCCTTTCTCACTGTGTCTGTTCCAAGCTTTTCTTTCCATCTGTAGATTTTTGTCTTCCTCAGTCCACATGACAGCCAGAGAAATACCAAGTTAACTTTCTTGGTGTTCAGCTCAAATAAATTCTTAGGGATAGGATCCATTGGCCCCACTTGGGTAGGATAACCCTTTGCCCAATCAGTTGTAGCTTACAGTGAGGTCTAAGTACAAGCGAGGCAACTCCCACTGGAGCCATGTGGATGAGAGAGAAAGGAGCATGAACCCTGTAGTGTGGCTGCTGGGTGACTAGTGTCATGGGGTGGGCTGCAGCTCTCTCTAATTGAGGTATACACGGGGCGCCTGGGTGGCTCAGATGGCTAAGGGTCTGCCTTCAGCTCAGGTCTGGGATCAAGCCCCATGTTGGGCTCCCAGCTCAGTGGGGCATCTGCTTCTCCCTCTCCCTCTCCCTCTGCCTCTCCCCCTGCTTGTGCTCTGTCTCTCTCTCACAAATGAATAAATAAAAATCTTTTTAAAAAATAATAATTGCGGTACACAGAACGAAGACACTGTGGGCTGCTCTTGTTCTCTGACCACCATCCTCGTTCAGTTCAGTGAGGTGTAACAAGGAGAATCACAGGAACCTCAGTTCTGGGTTTTACATTGTATTGTGTTATGTCTTCAATATCACCGTTCATGTACTCACCCTAATCCATCACTGTTTATGGATTCAAGAGAATTACATCCTTTGCTTCCATTTTTTTTTCCTATTATGTTGGTCTTGGAACAGATCAGATGTCTGAGGGGAGACACATATGTGGTAGGTAACGCCCCCACCCCATTTTATAGGCGACAGTCTGGCCAAGGTGGTTTACAGTGACAATTTCAGAGGGATTGTTTATAAGCTTTAAGTAATCTCCACACTCATTGTGGGGCTCGAGCTCACAACCCCAAAATCAACAGTCGCATGCTCTACCGACTGAGCCAGCCGGGCACTCCAGGATTTTTCTCAGTTGAAAGAGACAAAAACCCAGCTCAAACTAGCCTACACGTAATAGAGAATTTGTTGGCTCCTGTAACTGATGTTCAAAAGGTGATTGTGGCTTTAGGCATGGCTGAATCCAGGACCTCAGATGATCTCATCTGAATTGTCTCTCAGCTCTGCTTTCTTCATTATTTCCTTCATTCTATAAGCAGGCTCTCCTCATTGATGGCAGAAATGATCTCAATACCTCATCCTACCAGCTGTGCAACCCCAGGGGAAAGAGCCACTCTTGGGAGCTCCATAGAAGTGCCAGGCATCACTCTCACTGTCCTGGGTTGGGTCACATGTCCACAGGAAGCAGGCTATGATTCCTAAAGGAAAACTGGTGCTATTTACAGAAAATGGGATATTAGATAGGTGAAGTAGGAGATGTCCACTATGCCCTCACTGCTGGAAGCTTCTACTGAAAGCAGCATTTGAACACACCAAACGTGTTATTGATTTTTAAGGAACTGTGCTTGGTGCTACATTGGATGCAGAACTAAGTTTCTGGTCTTTTTTTTTTTTTTTTTTAAGATTTTATTTATTTATTCATGAGAGACCCAGAGAGAGAGAGAGTGAGAGAGAGGCAGAGGGAGAAGCAGGCTCCCAAGGAGCAGGGAGCCTGATGCGGGACTCGATCCCAGGACTCTGGGATCATGACCTGAGCCGAAGGCAGACGCTTAACCATCTGAGCCACCCAGGCGCCCCTAAGTTTCTGGTCTTAAGGAATTTTTATTTTTATTTGTTTGTTTTTAAGTTTTAATTTATTTATTCATTTTAAGTTATCTCTACACCCAACGTGGGGCTCAGACTCATGACCCTGAGATCAAAAGTGGCATGCTCTACTGACTGAGCCAGCCAGGCGCCCCTGCTCTTAAGGAATTTTTAATCAAGTAATAGAAATTAAACATATATATAAATAATGATTACTATCATGTGTTGAGTGCCTACTATGGGACAGTAGGCACTTTGTTAAATGTGTTTTGTTTTGTTTTTTTAAGATTTATTTATATATTGGGCGCCTGGGTGGCTCAGTTGGTTAAGCGACTGCCTTCGGCTCAGGTCATGATCCTGGAGTCCCGGGATCGAGTCCCACATCAGGCTCCCTGCTCGGCAGGGAGTCTGCTTCTCCCTCTGACCCTCTGCCCTCTTGTGCTCTCTATCTCTCTCGTTCTCTCTCTCTCAAATAAATAATCTTTAAAAAAAAAGATTTATTTATATATTTTAGAGAGAACACGTACTGGGGGTGGGGGCAAAGGGAGAGAGGGAAGGAGACTTCCTGCTGAGCTTGGAGCCCAACACAGTGCTTGATCTCATGACCCCAAGACCACGACCTGAGCTGAAATCGAGTTGGACCCTCAACTGACTGAGCCCCCCAGGCACCCCTAAATGTTTTATATACATAATCTCTTTGTGGATAACTCTGAAAGTCACTTCTATTTTTATTTATACCCATTTTATCTATTTAAATAAAAATAAACAGGCTTAGGAAGTTTATGTAGCCTGCCCAAGGTCACATAACTAGTGAAGAGTAGCTGATGAATCCAATCGGTTTTGACTCAATCCAGTGCTGTACTTTAGCTTGCACTGACCTAGCAAGGTCTTTCTGCATTCCATTCTTTCTGCCCTTTTAAGTCGGACACCGTGATTCTAAATTCCTGAGAACTATCTGACTTAGCTCATCTTTTCTAGGACATCACAGTTGATGGCTGGTCTCTTGCGTGGCCTCCCTCATATTAGGTGCCCATCCTCGATCCAGTTAGCCCACCAGTTGGACATCCACAGGAGGGTTTCAGTCACTGTTCAGCGACTTCTTTGGGTTTGACCCTTAGAAAGTCCGAAGAGGAGGCATGGCAGCCTCACTGCTCTTTGAGTCCTTGCTCCTCTGAACCTCCCTTCTTTATCCCCATCACTACCACCCAAGTTCAGACTATCACTATCTCTCTCCTGCCTACACGTTCTTCCTGTCTCCAGTCTCACCCCTGTTGACAGAGTGAAGAATACTTTTATTGCATCGTTCCTTTGAAGTCTTTCAGTGGTTTCCCATAGCCTTCAGGGTAAAGCCCAAACTCCTTACATAAGATTTCTCATGGCCTGACCCTTGCTTGCCTCTCTAGCCTTGTATCTAGACACTCCCTCCTTTGGATCCTTCAGATCAGCCTTTTTCTGAACCACTCAGAGTTCCCTGAACCTATCATATGTTCTCTTACTTCTGGGCTTTTGAATGTGTGGTTTCAGGTGCCTAAAGCCCTAAAGATAATGCCCCACCCTGCCCCCCACCCCCAGCACCCAGCTACTCTTGCTTGTCCTGTTGATGGCACCTACTCCTGTAAAACTTGTCAAAATCACCCTCTCCTCTCAGCCTGGGTTAGGTATCCACATCTTTTGCCCTCCTAATGCCCTGTCAAGGCATTTATCATTTCATATTTTATTTTATTTTTTAAAGATCTTATTTATTTATTTGAGATAGAGCGAGAGCGAGTGAGAGAGCACAAGCAGGGGGAGTAGCAGAGGAAGAGGGAGAAGCAGGCTCTCCACTGAGCAGGGAGTCCGACATGGGGCTCGATCACAGGACCCTGATATCATGACCTGAGCTGAAGGCAGGTGCTTAACTGACTGAGCCACCCAGGCACCCCCATTTCATACTTTATTTTATTTTTATTTTTTTATTTTTTAAGGATTTTATTTATTTATTTATTTGACAGAGAGAGGGAACACAAGCAGGGGGAGCAGCAGAGGCCGAGGGAGAAGCAGTCTTCCCGCTGAGCAGGGAGCCCGATGCAGGGCTCGATCCCAGGACCCCGGGATCATGACCTGAGCTGAAGGCAGGACGCTTAATGACTGAGCCACCCAGGCGCCCCCCCCATTTCATATTTTAGATGTATGCTTATGTAGTATCTTCTCCTGTTAGAATTAAGTTTCTTGAGTCAGATCCCCCCCCCAAATGACTGGCACGTAGTAGGCGCTAAATAAATACTTTTTGAACAAATGAGTGGATCTTGGCAGTGAGTTCAGATTGGCACGTATTTGTGGCTTCTTTTGAACTGGGTTTTTTTTTCCTCTTGCTCCTTCCAGGACCTGGGTTTCAGTGATGAGACATGGGGTATGATGTAACCCGTTTCCAGGGGGATGTTGACGAAGACCTTATCTGTCCTATTTGCAGTGGAGTCTTGGAGGAGCCAGTCCAGGTGAGTTGGTCTGATGGCAGTTTTGGTGGGAGCCATAGACGACAGTGGAGCTAATAGAAAATATAAGGCACTGTGTTCTGGCTCCCCTTCCCCCACACATGTACACAGATGAGAGGTTTGGTGCAGAGAAGCAGTGGTGGCTGCAAAAGGAATAGGGCCTTCCAGAGTCTGTCTAGAGGTGGATGCCACAGAAGTCCTGTGCTTCAGTTTTTCTTCTGATGTTGCGCTGAGATTTTTCTGCTGTAAAATGGTCACCTTTTTTCTGTCTTTGGACAGTAGTTCAGGAACTTCCTTTCCTCTGCAGGGGCTCTGACTAGGTTCCATATTCCTAGCTACGATTGAACTTTTAGACTTTCCTGATAAGTTCTCTCTCTGTGATGATGTAATGTTTCACTTAATCAGCCGGTCTGCCTGCAGGCCTTTTCAGCCTGCTTACCAACTAACAAACAAGGAGTAGGGACTCTGTGTATTGTCCCCTTTTCTTCCTGGGATTTATTAGAAAAACCAGTTTTTGATGCAGCCTTGTACTCTGCATTTTGACATGAAAGCTGCCACCTTCAATAGGTCATTTCCCTACAAGCCTTGCCAGACCAGTCAGTTGTATCTTCCTGGGGCGAGTATGAGGAGAAACTCGTGATTAACAGGGAAGTGTAAGGAGTGAGATGAATTCTTAGCAACAGTATTCATGGACATCATCCTGTGTGGTTCTTACTGCTTGCCTTCTGTAAATACCAGTTAATCCTCTGCCACTCCTGGCTAGCTAGACCTAATCCCATTTTCCAAACCAGGACACTAGTCAGTAAGGTCTCATGGCCCTTCCCCTACTCACTGCTTATACAACTCCCAGGGGCTCCTCTTGATCCTTTGAGTTTATTCTTACTCCAGTTTTCACCCATCCAAAGGAGCGCAGATGCCTGAGCTGACTGAATCAGACTGCATTCCAGCAGCAGCTAGCCCTGGACCTAACCCCTATCCAGGCCTTTGCAGCCACCTGCCATTAGAAGCAGATGGGCTGGGTGTGGAGCAAGCTCTCCTGGTGGTGTCAAGAGGTCATGGGCTGTGTCAGTTCCTTCCCTCCCCTGGCACTGTCATTTGAGGTGAGTCACGTGTGGAGAAGTCAATGTGGGTTCGTGACAGTCCAAGTCAGGAGCCACCCCCCACCTCTGCCTTCTGAAGAACAGGTCAGGCAGACCTCAGGATGCCAGGTTACCAGACACATACCCAAGGGTAGAAGGCACCTGTTAGGAATGCTGATTTCCCTACATCTTTTTTTTTTTTTTTAAGTAATCTCTACCCCCGATATGGGGCTCAAACTCACGACCCTGAGATAGAGTTGCACACTCCTCCAACTGAGCCAGCCAGGCGCCCCCCTACATATTTATTTAAGTTTTGAATAGGCAATAAATTCATGTGGTTCAGAAATCAAAACAGTATAAAAAGGCATACAGTGAGAACTCTTACTCCATCCTTGTCCCAGCCCATGTAACCCACCCCCCCCCAAGTTAACTCTTTGTAGTAGTTTATTTGTCCAACTTTTCTTACACAGAACGTAGCACATTCTGCATATTTTTTTTTAAAGATTTTATTTATTTATTTGAGAGAGAGAGAGAATGAGAGATAGAGAGCATGAGAGGGAAGAGGGTCAGAGGGAGAAGCAGACTCCCCGCCGAGCAGGGAGTCCGATGTGGGACTCGATCCCGGCACTCCAGGATCATGACCTGAGCCGAAGGCAGTCGCTTAACCAACTGAGCCACCCAGGCGCCCACATTCTGCATATTTTTGCAGGGGTGGCAGGATTGGATGGGGTGGTCATGAGAGAGGTGACAGTTGGAACGAGATCTGAGTAATATGGGGATGTTCTGCTGAAATTGAGTGGAAGAGCGTTTCAGTCAAAGAGAAGCCTCAAAAGTAAAGCTCCTGAGGCGGGAGTGAGCTGGATGTAAACAAAGAACAGAAAGGAGGCCAGACTAGCCTGAACACAGTGCTGGGAGCGTGGTGTGAGGTGAGAAGAGGTCGGAGGCACAGGGCCAGATCCAGCAGAATTTTATAGGTCCTGAGTAGGAGTTTGGATTTATTTTAAGTACGGTGGGAAGCCATTGTAAAGTTTGAGGCAGGGGAGTGATAAGATTTAGTTTTCATTTTGAAATGATCACTCTGGCTGATGAAGGTAGACTGAATTTTAAAGGGGTGGGGTAGAAGTAGGGAGGCCACCTGGAAGATGTACTTAATAATGTAGGTGAGAGATGATAGCTTGAACTGGGTTCGTGGCAGGACAGATGGGGAAAAGTGGACAAATTTAGGGGTTGTTTTTTTTTTTTTTGAGATCTGTAAAGATTTTGAAAAGACTCAAATATGTCTTTGAGTGAAAAATAAAAAATCTACTGACAGTTGGATTAGTGACATTGAGAATGACTTTTTTTTTCTTTTAAAGATTTTATTTATTTATTTGACAGAGGGAGAGAGAGAGTGCACAAGGAAGGGCGGCAGGCAGAGGGAGAGGGAGAAGCAGGCTCCCCGCTGAGCGGAGAGCCCTACATGGGGCTCGATGCCTGGACCCTGGGATCATGACCTGAGCTGAAGGCAGACATTTAACCAACTGAGCCACCCAAGTGCCCTGAAAATGACTTCTTCCTTTATGAGGCCTTTCTGTGTTTCCAGTCTTTGGTATCTGTGAGCATCTCGAAGGCAGAACCTGTTTTTGTATCTTAAACACCTAGCAGAGTGTTTGGGACATGGCACGCCATTTATTCATCAACTACTAAGTGCATACTGTTTGTCCCATGCCAGAAGCCAGATGGTGTCTCCACCGAAGCCCAGGACTCCTCTCACTTTGAGGGATTCACTTCAGAGATTATCTGAGTTATCAGGGAAGGAAGCTGAAATAGGATCTTTATGAAACTGAAAAGAATGTGATTCTATGAGGAATTGGCTCTGTTTTGGAGGATAGACCTTGCCATTAGGATGCAGGCAATGCCTCAGGTCAACCCTCATAAGATAGGAACTTGGGCCCCTACAGAGAGGACTCTCAACCTCTCACCAGGAGTTCCAGGCTTTTGTTTTGTTTTGCTTTGCTTTCCTACATTGCATTTTTGCCAGTAAATCTCTTCCCTGTGTCCTCTCTACTCATCCTTCAAGACCCGTATCAAATTCTGTCCTCTCCATAAATACGTGCCCTGACTGACCTAGCCTAGAAGGATCTCGTCCTCCTCTGGACTTTGGCATTTATTGTGTATGCAATCCAGTTGGCAATTAATCAGCTGTCTTATGTCATCTCTCCTATTGTCCTGGAATATTATTTATACCTCTTACTATTATGTAACTTTTTACTTGTTTGTCTTATGTCACAATCCATTTGGAATCCTGAGCACAGGAAATCCATCTGAAGCCTGTCCCTGCACCATGCCTCGCCCATGGCGCATCTGTACTTAGCTGTGACCCCAGGGACCTCTGGTCCTGGAAGCTGCTCAGAGGCTTGAGTGGCTTTGCGGAGTTATCGTATTCAGGCTCTTAGCTCCTGCTAATTCTCTTGTGACCCCTTTGCCCTGCTTTTCCTTCTAGGCACCTCATTGTGAGCATGCTTTCTGCAACGCCTGCATCACCCAGTGGTTCTCTCAGCAGCAGACGTGTCCGGTGGACCGTAGCGTTGTGACGGTCGCTCACCTGCGCCCAGTACCTCGGATCATGCGGAACATGTTGTCAAAGCTGCAGATCGCCTGCGACAACGCTGTGTTTGGCTGTAGTGCTGTTGTCCGGCTTGACAACCTCATGTCTCACCTCAGCGACTGCGAGCACAACCCCAAACGGCCTGTGACCTGTGAGCAGGGCTGCGGGTGAGATTGCTTCCCTTCCTCTGCCCTGTACAGATGAGGGCCTTCCAGTTTATGACCCGCCCCACATGCTGCCCACACTCCCCATCCCCACTCCCGCGTCTCCGGGTCCCCTGCTCACCAGCTCAGGAGGGAGTGTACGCAGGAGTGTCCTTGGCCTCCCTGGCTCCCCGCCCCGAGACTGCACTTCCATGATGCTTTTTGCTCTTGCTTTAATAAAAGAGAGGAGGCAACAATTCCCAGTCTGTGTGCTAATACTACAGACTGGTTTCCTTTATTCTTCCCTGTCAGCCCAGTACTCCTTTGTCTTTGTCAGATTGACTGCTCTGATTTCTAAGCTTCTCATATTTCCTCTTGCCCTGTTTTTTTTTTTTTTTTCTTTATTTGGGGTGTGAAGTATTTGATTAAATACTGCTCGCTAGGGCTGTGAATCTGGGGCTTCTCAGAAGGAATGAATGCACAGGCAGAATCTGTAGGAGGAAAGGAGACTCGTGTGGTAGATAAAACACTGTCTTAGGGAAGGAGGCCCAGAGAAAGGAGAGAGCAAAGGAGTACAGGGGGAAGTGGAGAGCTAGGGGGAAGGAAATGAAGGGAATAAATAAGAGGGCGGCCCGAATATTTGAAATCTGGGCTAGGAGAAAGCCCTCTCAGCGATTTTTCTGCCTTTGCCCCCATGTCCCATTGAATGCTCCTGTTCTGCTTTTTTCCCACCCTGGGTGGCAGCCTGGAGATGCCCAAAGATGAGCTGCCAAACCACAACTGCATTAAGCACCTGCGCTCCGTGGTGCAGCAGCAGCAGACCCGCATTGCAGAGCTGGAGAAGACCTCCGCTGAGCACAAACACCAGCTGGCAGAGCAGGTAGGCCCCGGAGAACGTGGGAGAGAACCTGTCCCTAATGTGCAGATGTAGAACAGATATGTAAGTGCGTGTGACTACACGTGTGTGTGTTTGTATATGCTGTGTATGTACGCGGATAACTGAGGGCAAGGAGCCCCAGTGTGAGCATGCAGGTGTGTGTGTGTGTGCGCGCATGTGCGTGCACACGCGCACACCTGGGTGAGTAGATACTCTGCCTGTGGCTTTGGTGGGGAATCAGATTGGAGCTCTTCTCCCTTTCCTTCATTGCATCAGTGTCATTCGCTCACCTAACATTTATTAACTGCCTCCTCTAAGGGGGTACTCTGCTAAGCACTAGGGGTACAGCTGCGGATGAGACCGTCACACCCCGTCTTTGTGAAGCTTACAGGTCTGGGTGTTCCTCAGATGCCTCAGTTGCCCTCATTCTTAGACAAACTTTTGTCTTTGTTGTCTGCCCTAACCATCATCCGTGACTCTTCTTTGGGCCCACAGAAGCGAGATATCCAGCTGCTAAAGGCCTACATGCGTGCAATCCGCAGTGTCAACCCCAACCTTCAGAACCTGGAGGAGACAATTGAATACAACGAGATCCTAGAGTGAGTGTCACTCGGGACGTGGAGTCACTTGCGCCACGTCCTGGCACCGAGCCCTTAGAGGAGGAGGAGCAGGGGAGTGGCAGAAGGAGGGTAATAAGAGGGCTGGGCTGGGGCCACCATTTCCAGACGTTGGGATGGACAGGGACAGAGAAGAGAATAATTTTCAGCCCCACTATAGGATCTCTTATTCTTTGGGGTGGATGGAGGGGAAAGCTTACACAAGGACGCAGTTCATCCAGACTTAAGTGGTGCCCACACAGACAGAGCCCTGTGTTAAAGGCTGTGGAGTGCTAGGAGGGCCACGAAGAAAGAGATATTGCCCCTGTCGTCAGGTAGTTTACAATCCAGAAGAGAATGCAAATCCAGGAGAGTGATCTAAAGTGCAGCATAAACAAGCATAAACAAGCAAAGTTGAAAATCCCTTTCAGTGCTGGAGTCCTGTACAATTCACAGACCAAATTCTAAGTGTGAATCAATATATGTCGTGCAAACAGTGCTGTGTGGGACACAGTGTAGAGGACCATTGCTCCATTCAATACGCATTTGTTTGTTTGTTTTCTTTTTTTTTTAAGATTTTATTTATTTATTTATTTGACAGAGAGACAGCGAGTGAGGGAACACAAGCAGGGGGAGTGGGAGAGGGAGAAGCAGGCTTCCTGGCGAGCAGGGAGCCCAATGCGGGACTTAATCCCAGGACCCTGGGATCATGACCTGAGCCGAAGTCAGACACTTAACGACTGAGCCACCCAGGTGCCCCCAATACACATTTGTTGAGCACTTAGTACGTGCCAGGCACTGTATGTGCTAAGTATTGGGATTTTTTTTTTTTTTTTTTTTTGACAGAGACACAGCGAGAGAGGGAACACAAGCAGGGGGAGTGGAAGAGAGAGAAACAGGCTTCCCACGGAGCAGGGAGCCCAATATGGGGCTCGATCCCAGGACCCTGGGATCATGACCTGAGCCGAAGGCAGACACTTAATGACTGAGCCACCCAGGTGCCCCTAAGTATTGGGATTTTTAAGAAAAATGACAGAAACTCTTCACTTGTAGAGTTTAATCTGGTGAGTGAGTAACATGTAGTGACTCAGGGGACCAACTAGGGGAAGATTTGGAGTTTCTGAACCAGTGATGGAAAAAGGAAGATGGAAGATCAGGGTTGAGCCGAGCACAGAGCAGGTGGTCATTCCTATTAGGAGAAAAAGCCAGTGCAGAGAAGGGGGATGAGCCGGAATGACCGTCTCCCACCCCCTCCACACAGGTGGGTGAACTCCCTGCAGCCCGCAAGAGTGACCCGCTGGGGAGGGATGATCTCAACCCCAGATGCTGTACTCCAGGCTGTAATCAAGCGCTCCCTGGTGGAGAGTGGCTGTCCTGCCTCTATTGTCAACGAGCTGATTGAAAATGCCCACGAGCGGAGCTGGCCCCAGGGTCTGGCCACCCTAGAGACAAGACAGATGAACCGACGCTACTATGAGAACTACGTGGCCAAGCGCATCCCTGGCAAGCAGGCTGTGGTCGTGATGGCCTGTGAGAACCAGCACATGGGCGATGACATGGTGCAGGAGCCAGGGCTTGTCATGATCTTTGCGCATGGCGTGGAAGAGATATAGGAGCTCTCGATGGGCTAGCAGGAAGAGATGGCGACCAGAAAACCCATCACTCCAGCAGCTGGCTCCCGAGTCCTCCCTACTATCCACAGAACCGTGCCCTACACGTGGGCCGCACGTTTCCCTACACTTCTGGCACTGAAGGGCCCAGGGCACTTTGCTCAGCCTTTCAGGTGGGAAACCCAGATTCCTTCCTTTTGCCTAATTTCTTCCCCTAAGATGTCTGTAAATTTTCAGTCAGTTTGGGAAAAGTCCCCCACCTCTATATCTGTTCTCCTGCCTAGGGTCCCTGGTTCTAAATATTTTTAGAAAGCACAAAGAACTCATTTTCTCTAGAGGATCAGGGCGGAGTGAGGACTATCTGATCGTTCCCCTCCTCCAAAACCAGGGAATCAGAGCAGGCAGGCCTTTTGACACTAAACAACATGCGAGGGCAGCTCTGGGGAGCAGACATCCTGAAGAAATGGTAAGGGTGGGATCAAAACCCTAGAAATAAGCAATGAGGCCAGGAACTGATGGCCCTTAGGGGAAGACAGGACCTCTGTGCCAAGCAATACCCTGTCCAGCCCACCTCCCGGGTGCAGGTTCCTGCTGCTGCTGCAGGTGTGCAGGCTGGGATGCCGGAATTTTCCAGATGAGTTCTGCTTTCCGACATTTTCTCATAGTTAGGGAATGACAGGGTTGGGGGTAGGGGATTAGTCTGTTGGGGTGGATGTGCTCAGCAAGAAGCAGCTCTCTGGCTTTTGCTGATAATCAGGTAGGCACTGCCTCTGGCATGGGCCGTAATAGTTCCATAGACCCCTCTCCAACCCTGTGATTGTAACTAGTTATTTTGATAACTTCCTTTGGCCATTGTTTGTATTTCCTTCCCCCCCACTTTTTTTTTTTTTTTTAGAATTGCCTGGTTATGGCTACCCCACTTTTCCAGCCCAGCCACATTGTTGGCAATCTAATTTATTTACTTTTTTTTTTTTAAGAAAGGAAAAAGAAAAAAAAATTAACAAAGCTCAAAACTTTCTTTTTGATGTTCCTATTGTGGGGATTCTGGGTAGGGTGGGACAGGGATGGGGGATCTGTTTTATATTTTTCCTTTGCAGCACAACTGTTGGCTTTAATATAGGAAGGGCCAAGGGAGTCCTCGACTGAACCTATGTCTGCCCCAACCCTCCATCACCCCATCTGAGATGAGGCGCTTCCTCTATTCCAATGATGGATGCGACAGTCCAATATCCATGCCTGTGCCCTCTGGAGAACTTTGCTCCCAGCCCTTCCACCGGTCTTCTTGTAAAACTCTGTATTTGTAGAGTATTAATTTTGAAGACATTTCCACCCCCCAGCCCCCGGTTTCCTTGGAGAGCCAGACTTGGATTCTAAGCTTCACCAGGCAAGATGGGAGAGACATGATGTCTCTGTGTCTCTGAGTACAGGCTGTGTTCTGGTCTCACGCATGCCCTCTAAGGACTTCAGCTCCATTTTCGGCTACCCGGGCATTCCTTGATCTTTAGGGTGGCTGGTAGAATAAGAGAAGGGGAGGGATAGAGGGTGTGATTATTTCAATAGGCAGGTGTGAATGGGGTTGAAGAGATATGGCCATATAACAGCTACTTCTCTCTTTGGAGTTTTATTCCAGGCCAGCTTGCTGTGGGTCTGGGGAGTTGGGTCATGGCTCCACTGGGAATGGGGTGGAAGGATACAACTTGAAGGGAGTAGGGAACAGTCCTATGTTCCAGCTCCAGGACATTGTGCTCAGGAATTTGAAAACGCTGCTATACTTAGTCTGGTTACTACATTTCTTCCACTCCCCTCTGCCCCTGCCTGCCTTACCAAGGCCTATACCCTCCTGTCGTCACCCTCAGACGGAGCCAGGAGGCTCAGTTAAGTCTTCCCTCCCCTTTGCACTAGTGTCTCTGCGGGTTGCTGGTTGTGTTATATGTGCTGTTCCATGGTGTTGACTGCACTAATAATAAACCTTTTACTCAACTCTCAGTTCTTAATCCAACATCACTCCCTTACTTGTGAAGCTTTCTCCTCTGCTTTGGCCTTTCTCTCACCCTGATTCCCCTTATTTTGCTTTATAACCTACCCTTGTCTTAGAACTAACCTCTGTTTTAGCAAGATGTCTGTCTGGGAGTGTACACCTCACTTTTTTGCCCTTTGTGCCCTTCTACCACCTTCCCTCCTGTCTCCTGGTCTGTAGCAGCCAACATGTTCTCGTCAGTGATCTGAACTGTGTTCTTTCCAGAGTTTGCCTTTGCCCCAAATTCCATGTCTTCCCTAAGTGCTCCTGGAGTTTTAGGGCCGTTTCTACAGAAGGTATGCATGCACCCTTCTCCCTTGTCCCACAAGCACCTTCATTTTGGAATCTGGGATTCCATCGCCCAGTGTGTCCTAACCAAGAAAGTAAACACGGGGAAGGGAGCGTGGGATGACTTTACTGCTCTGGTTGTCAAATCTCGATAAAGCCTTACCTAGGCATTTGCTGCCACCTGCTCTTCGGTCATGAGAAAAAGGAAATCTTTTCCCCCAGTAGTGTCTTTTTAAAATTTGTTGAGTGTTTATGATGCACTTAGTGTAAACCCATTAGCACTCTAGATACTCTAGTGGGGCTAAAAAGCAAAAGGGCATAAGGACATCCCTGGGCCCACTGAGTCTGTTACCCTTGTGTGCACACAAGCTCTGATTCTAAGATACTGGTGAACACATGACACTGCAGAGCGGCAGAGGTAACAGGTATAGTATCTAGTATCTAGTATCTAGGGATACCAGGAGTGCTCTTTTTTTCCCTGAAGCTCCTTCAAAATTACTCTCAGAACCTGCTGCTTGTTCTTTTGAATGTCACAAAGGGTGCCAAATCTTTCTTTTGGGGTAGATTTGGTTTTGGGGAACAATATTCATTGGCTGTATTCTGCAAGGAACTCAGGTGGGGATGGGTGTCGTGCAGCACGGCAGCACGTACTTTGAAAGAACTTACTCCGTAAGGGAGATAAATATATACTAGAATAAGACGTAATCAATATGGTAAGTAGATCTACAAGCAATACTTGAGCAGAGGGAAGATAAAGGCACTGACTCTGATGGGTACCAGGAAAGACTTGTTTCGGAGACATGGTATTTGTTCTGGATTAGAGTTGGCATCCTGCCGCCTGCTTTTGTGAAAATGCTTTACTGGAACACAGCCATGCCTGTTTGCTTATGTATTGTCTGTAGCTACTTTTAGATTACAGCAGCAGAGTGGAGTAGTTCCACAGAACTATGACCCACAAAGCCTAAAATATTTGCTACTTGGCTCTGTTGAAAGTTTGCCAACCCATTCTAGACTTTTAAGGTCAGGAGAATGGGTGGGGGAAGCATGAAGGTTGGTTTCGATTCTTTACTTCAGTATTCTAATTTGAAGAATCAGAACATTTTTTTACATTGCTACCATAACAAATGCTTAAAATTAATCTATATTCACATTTGTCCAGTAGTCTCAAGAAAAGTAATTTCTTTATTTGAGAGAGAGAGCACACAAGCAGGGGGAGGGGCAGAGAGAGAAGGAGAAGCAGGCTCTCTGCTGAGTAGGGAGCCCGACATGGGGCTCGATCCCAGGACCCTGAGATCATGACCTGAGCCAAAGGCAGACCCTGAACCAACTGAGCCACCCAGGTGCCCAAGAAAAGTACTTTTAGAGTTAATTTTTGTCCAGTCCTGGATCCAGTCCAGGAAGCATGCATTACACTAGGTTATGTGTCTTAACTATCTTTTATACTTTTTTAAAAAAGATTTTATTTGAGAGAGAGAGAGCAAGAGAGCACACAAGTGGGGAGGAGAGGGAGAAGCAGGCTCCCCATCGAGCAGAGAGCCTGATATGGGACTCGATCCCAGGACCCTGGGATCATGACCTGAGCCAAAGGCAGACACTTAACCAATTGAGTCACCCAGGTGCCCTACTTTTATATTTTTTAAAAAAGATTTTATTTATTGAGAGAGAGTATGCGCAAGTTGGGGGGGAGGGGCAGAGGGAGGAGAATCCCAAGCAGACTCTGCGCTGAGCGTGGAGCCTGATGTGGGGCTCCATCTCAGGACCCTGAGATCATGACCTGAGCCGAAATCAATATTCCGATGCTTAACTGACTGAGCCACCCAGGCGCCCCATTTATACTCTTAATCTAGATTTCTGGAACAACTTTTTTTGTAACGGCGATCTGTTGAAGAGATTGGGCCAGTTGTCCTGGAGAGTGGTCTTTTGGATTTGATTGATTGCTTCTTCACAGTGCCCCTTAACTTCCTTTACCCCTATTTTTACTAAACAATTAGATCTAGAGTCTGAGAGATTCACGTTAAGCAGTTCTGGGGATAGAAGACATCACAGGAGAGATGTTCTTTATGTTGTGTAACATCAGGAGATAGGTCCAGTTGTCCCACCATTAGCCTGGTTTCTTCATTTATGCTTGGGATTGTTGAGAGGGTTTTTATTTTTATTTTTTATTTTTTTAAGATTTTATTTGAGAGAGAGAGAATGAGAGATAGAAAGCACGAGAGGGAAGAGGGTCAGAGGAAGAAGCAGACTCCCTGCTGAGCAGGGAGCCCAATGCGGGACTCGATCCCGGGACTCCGGGATCATGACCCGAGCCGAAGGCAGTCGCTTAACCAACTGAGCCACCCAGGCGCCTGAGAGGGTTTTTAAAAGCTGGCTGCGTGTCCTGGGAGAAGGGGACAGCCGGCAGTGTAGCTCAGCTCGGTTGCTGTCACACAAGAACGGGGGCCCCACATTGCCAAATCTTACTTTCCAAGAACCATCGGCCATCCTAGTGTTTATGCCAAGTATCACAAATTTTAGGTGTTGGCTCAATTAGAAAAAAACACTTGTGGCCCCCCAAAAATCTAGGGTTCATCAGTTTGCAACCTCTGCTTTAGGTTTAGATCATAGCATGAATAAAAACAAGTGGAGGTGAAGGATATGTGGAAGAAAGAAGAGACTAGTGTCATCTGGAGCATTTGAGTTTGTCGAAGGAAATAATGAAAGATAAGACTAGAAAATCATTTGGGGGCCAATTCTGGGAGGCTTTGACTACATGGCAGGGTATTTTGACTTTAATTTTACAGGTAAGTTTTTGACAAGAGGAGTAACTTCCAGCATGATTCTGGTGGCAGTATTAAATAAGCTTTGCTGTAATTCATGCAAGAGGTTTAGAGCTTGAAAGAGTAGGAAAGAGAACAAGAGACATCAGGGAAGAAAACTGACCAGCCTTAGTAACTGACTAGATTCACTCAGCCAACATTTATAGCTTACCTGTCCTGTGTCACATGTGGTGTTAGGCATTTAGCATACACAAATACTTAAGAAACAAGTCCTTAAAGGAATTTGTTTTTTAGTAGGTGACATGCACTTAAGTAAGGAATGGGAAATAGAGAATAATACATTGCTAATAAAGATTCAGTACAATGGGACAATGCGGAGGAAAGAGGTCAGTTACCTACTACCAATGGTGAGATGCTTCTCAGAAGAATCACTGAACTGAGTTCTGAACAGGTCCAGATACTGGCAGTGAGGAAAGGGGTTGAGTATTTACTGTTGAGTCAGGCATTATTGTAAGTATCAAACATTTCGACTTCCCAACAACTTTATTTTTTTTTAAGATTTTATTTATTTATTCATGAGAGACACAGAGAGAGAGAGCGAGAGAGAGGCAGAGGGAGAAGCAGGCTCCCAAGGAGCAGGGAGCCCGATGCGGGACTCGATCCCAGGACCCTGGGATCATGACCTGAGCCGAAGGCAGACGCTTAACCATCTGAGCCACCCAGGCGCCCCCAACAACTTTATTAAAAGGCGCTATTGCCATCTCCATTTTCTATGTGGGGAAATAGACAACAAAATTAACATGGGTAATGATTAGAACTGGGATTTGAACCCAGAAAGTCATTTCAGAGCCTGAGTTCCTAACCACTGCACCCAACAAGAGGCACATAACCAAAGATGAATCACAGATTAAGATTTCTTGTCTGTGAGAATGAAAGATAGGGTCATTACTAACCTGAAGAGGGAGGAGGAGAGGGTGAGCAGGTTTCAGGGGTGAAGTAATGAGCTCATGTGGGGGAACTTTGGGGTTAAAATGCTTCCACATAAAGGTAGTTAGCCAGCAAGTGGAAACGTGAATATGGAGCTTAAGAGCAAGAAGTTAGGGTTAAAGATGTGGCTTTGGGAGTTATCTGCCCAAAGGTGATCAAGAAATTCTAGAATGAATGCAAACACTAAAAGGATAGGAGGAAGGCTAAGAATGGGACTTTGGGGAATTCCAGAAGTAATGGGGAACAAAATCTGAAAAATAGATGAATGATAAAGTTGGCGAATGCCTCAGCTTTTTTTAAAGTAATTTTGAAGGAAAGATTTTTTTTTTTTGTATGATAGTAGGATTATGGTGTGTGTTTTGAGTTTACAGTTGACAAGTAATGAATCATTTAAATGTGGCTCATAAACTAGCCGTGAAGGAGTTCCCAGAAATGTTTTTGCGCAATGACCACATTCCTGAGATAAGTGTAGGTTGAGATAATTTCAGCTGAAGTCCTCTAATGATTACTGGATAAACCATGGAGATCCAGACCTCTTAATTTGGAACAAGTCAGCAACTTGGAAGGGGACAATAAGTTCTTGTGTGTCAGATGTCCCCACATTAGCTTTTTAGTCACATAAAAGCAATTTTGGTTAAGATCTAAGAATTTGTCGCTGAAAAGATCAGTATAGGGTGGCATTAGCTATTCGGTTATAAGGTGAAGGAGCTGCATGAGAGAAGGAATTAAGCTGTCACATGGACATACTCAGCCTGAATAGATTGGGGGTATCTTGCTGGAAAGAATTAAGGATTTTTAAAAATGGGTGATTTAGGCAGAGTATGTTGACCAGAGGAGCATGTGTGTGATCAGATGGGGTGTTGAAGTCCCTGGGCAGGGGAATATGATGAAAGCAGTGTTGCAGAGCTCTAAGTATGGTGAAACTGGGGCACCTGGAAGGCCATTGTAACAAATAAGATGATGTGGTGGAAGAAGCAATGATTGATGAATGTCAGGCATGGGAGAAAGAAAAATGCCAGATTAATTCTTAAGGTTGGAAACAATGGAATTGCAAGAATGGTATTAACAGAAATGGGAAAAGTCAAGAATGTCATTCTGGGAACAGAGAAGTTTTGTTTGCATTTTAGGTGATGTATAGATAGCTGGAGGTATAGGACCACAGTTTGGCTTGCAAGGAGGGAAAAGAATGAAGCTTTTGGCAGAATTCTACAGGAGAGAGAAAACAAACGAGATGAAGAAACAATATTCTAAGAGAAAAACGCAAGTACAGTGTCTCTCAAGTCCAGTAAGAAATCAATGGTTCCAAGCATAGCAAAGGTTTTACAACAGGGTATTAAGATAGTGTGAAGCTGGAGGCAGAGAGTATACATTTTATTCGAAAAAGAGAAGTATGGGCTCCTGGCTAGCTCGGTCAGTGGAGCGTGGGACTCTTGATCTTGGGGTTGTAAATTCGAGTCCCAAGTTGAGTGTAGAGATTACTTAATAAAATCTAAAGAAAAAAAATGGAAGTAGGGGCGCCTGGGGAGCTCAGTCGTTGAGCGTCTGACTTTGGCTGGGGTTATGATCCCAGAGTCCTGGGACAGAGCCCGAGTCGGGCTCCCTGCTCCGCGGGAAGCCTGCTTATCCCTCTCCCCCACTTGTGTTCCCTCTCTCGCTGTGTCTCTCTCTGTCAAATAAAATCTTAAAAAAAAAAAAATGGAAGTAGAAAACAATGTGATCATTTGGAATTGTCAAGTGGGGGTGTAGTTTAGTTCTGATTTAACGGATTGATCCAGTGGGATAGAATTTGAACATGTTATTTAAGGATGTGAATGGAAGTTTCCTTAGGAGGTTGAAATGAGTGGAATCACAAGCCTAGGTGGAGAAGGTAGCTTTAGGGCAGATGAGCAAAGTCAAATACCGAACCAGAAACTAAGGAATGCCTGGGGGTACCTGATCATATAACCCAAGGAAATGTATAAGGATAGAGGATTTGTTGAGATGGAAGAGGAAAGGTGAAGGAATTGGGGAGTTCAGGTGGGCTGTGGGGATGGTAGAAATTCGAAATTATCTATTGTACATTAAAGTTTGAAGCCTTGGCCTCTCATCTATGACAGTTACAAGGGAAGCATTCTGAGAGCCAAAGGTAGGACCTCCGAGTCCCGAACAACCTCTTGCTAGCTTTTCCGTCCAGGTCCTCCATTTTGTAAGCTACGGTGCCTTCTTCCCTTCGCAACAGTTGTTGGTTGCCCTCTGCTGGTCAATTTTGGTCTTGCCTCGCCAGTCACATATCTGAGAGCATGCGCAAAATGGCACTTGGCAGGAAGCTGAGTATTGAGCCTTGTTAGAGTCTGTTCATTCAGTACATACTTGATCACATCTGTGTTTAAAGGCCTAGTAAAGGAAATACATACAAAAACAAAATACGCAGTCCTAACTCTTAATAAGCCAGTAGTCCAGAGTGAGTGAAGATTAAAACATATACAAAACTACCGTAAAAAAAAATCCATGTACTCAACAAAGATTTTTTTTTTTTAATTGAGTGGCTTATATGTGTTAAGAGTTGATGTTCTACTGGGGAAGAAAGACTTCACAAAACATGATTAGGGTATGGTGGGTGGCAAGGGGTTAGAGATGACTTCCCAGGAGAACCGACACTGATGTGGAGGCTGAATAGAAGGTGAGGATGGGAATAGCATGAACACAGACAAATACTATACCAAAGAATGCCAGTGATTGGAAAGTAGTGAATAGGAAAGAACGGTGAGTGAAAAGGGACCAGGTCATGAAACACGGAAAGCAGCCATGGGAGGGCTTAAGTTCTCCAGCTACAACAGGATGCTTTAGTGCAGCTTCACATATATTAACTCATGTGGTCCTCCCAGCCTACTTTCCTATCACTCCAGCACGTGGCCGGCCTAGCCTGCACTCACCCCGAGAAACGTGAACAGATTTAAGATCTATTTAGGAAGCAGAATAAATATAACTTTTATTTTAATTCATTCTTGCAGAGGGGTGTCAAAGGAGATGTCTTGCATGCAACCAAGTCGATGGTGGTGGTAAAATGACGGGTTCCACCTGGAGTAATCAAGAGCCTCCAAGAGGAAGGATAAAAGGATGTGCAGGATGGGAGTTATAAATGATGGGGGTGCCGGGGTGGGAAGGAGACACTCTTGAGGATGATCTCAGAAGAGCACGAGAAAGGGTACGAAGGCAGGAAACTGCAAAATAGAATTGTGTAGAAAGCTCTGTGAATTAGTCTTGAACTCCCTGCCTCCAGGAAGGAGATCCTTCTTGGAGAAGATGATGCTGTGCAAGAAATGAAATACAAAAAGAACACCTTCAACAAGTATCCTACATATTCCCCATGATCAGAAATTGGGGGATAGGAAGAACCAGATAAGGTGAGTACAGGAGGGTTAGAGGTTACAGAATTAATTCCCGAGCTTGATTAATACACGGAGAATTTAGAACAGTACTTGGCACATAAGGAGCATTCAGTAAAAAGTATTATCTCCCCACACTCAAGCTCCAGCTAGATCTGTAGTGTTTACGTTTCAACAGGCGACTTCCTCCTAGCCCAGTGATATCCTAGATGCGCCTCCTCAAAGAAATCCAGATGAGAGAAATGCCTTTTCCTGGGTCTCAATTATAATCACACTTCCAGTCATGAAATCCAGAGGTGCCCTCTTTTCCTGGAAACTCTAATTTTGACTATTATGGCACAAAAGGCATTCAAATTTCCCAAAACCTAACTCTTCTTCAAATCCTTTGCCATTCATTCCCTTCCCCAAGAATGAAACGTGTGCCAAAGCTCTAAGAAACCTAAGTTACAGAATTCGGAAAGTGCCTTGTACCCTAGCAGCCAATACAGCTGTGCACGATTAAGCTTCCCATGATCATCTCCATCCCTCCCAATCCAGAGGTGAGACCTCTCGGCTTCTATTTCTGAGAAAGGGAAGTGCACGAAAGACACGTGCGCGGGGGGTCGCCTTTACGTACCCTGAAGGAGGGGGGAAAAAAGCAGCCGTCACGAACAGGATTCGAACCTGTGCGGGGAAACCCCATTGGATTTCGAGTCCAACGCCTTAACCACTCGGCCACCGTGACTTCCAAAACCACGTTTCGCCACGCGCTTACAGAAGGGGTCCGCATTGCGACCACAGAGGGAGTGTAGCGATGGGAAGCCGGCCCCGACCCCATACACACACACCCTGTGACCCCCGCCCTCCGCCCCTTACCTCGCCTCTACGCCACTCAAAGGAACAGGCGGGTGGGCCGGGTGACCCAGGGAGGGAGCAGGGAGTGTCCTCCCGCCCAGACACGATTGGGGTCTCAAAGAGCGCAAAGCTATTTAGAAGGCGATGGCGGGGCCTGCAGAGCAATCAGTTGGAGGGAAGGGGCTGGGCCCCAGGGTGGCGGCTGAGGACTCCTCGGGTTAAGGAGTGAGAGGGGGTGCTGACGCAAGGTGTTAGGAGTGAGGGAGACTCAGGAAGAATTGAAACGGGGAAGCCCTGGGGATGGATGAAAGAAAGCAACTTCCTGGGGAAAGGGGTCTGGGGTTCCTTGAGATTAAGGGCTCCGTGGGGTTGGGAATGTGCAAGGTAAGGACCACTCGGAGCTATGCGCTGGGGGTTCTTCCAGATACCGACGTCCGCTTGGGGTAAGCTAGAGAGGTACCCCACTCCCTGGGCTGAGAGGCAAAGAGGGAGGAAAGGCTTCGCGTCTGGAAGAGAACGATCTCAGGGGAGTGGGCGCCCCCTCCAGGAAGCAGCCACCTTCCCAACGCTCCCGCCGCCGCCGCCGCCGCCGCCGCCGCCGCCGCCGGGGAGGCCGCCAGGGTGGGTCCCGCGCCGGGAGCTTGGCCGCCGCCGCGCCCGACCGGTCGGCAGGGGGCGCTGCGCGGGCCGGGGCCGGCCTAGGCGGCGGGAGGCGGCGGCCGCGGCGGCGGGAGGCGGCGGGAGGCGGGCGGAGGAGGAGGCGGAGGAGGCGGGAGCTGAGCTGAGCGGGGCGGGCGGCGGCGGCGGGGCCCGAGCCCGAGAAGATGGCGGTGCGGAAGAAGGACGGCGGCCCCAACGTGAAGTACTACGAGGCCGCGGACACCGTGACCCAGTTCGACAACGTGAGGCTCTGGCTCGGCAAGAACTACAAGAAGGTAAGCGGGTAGGGCCGCGCGGGGGCCGGGGGCGGGACAAAGGGACCGCGGCCCCGCAGCCCCCCCCCCCCGGATCCTGCCCACCCTCGGGCGGCCCGCGGCCCCTCCCCCGCGGCCTCGGGAGCAGCCCCTGTGCGCCCGCCGGCGGCCCCGCGCCCCTCCCCCAGCCTCTTTTACCGCCCCCCCCCCGCCCCCCGCAGCCTGGGATTCCAGCCCCCGCCCTCCCTCCTGCGCCCTCTGCCCCTTGTTTTTCTCCACTGCCCGGCGGGTCCCGGTGCCAGCCGCCCACCCTCCCCTGGGCCAGAGCCTTCCGGGCTTTTCCGGGAGAGGCGGCTGAGGGTGGACGGGGTGCCCGATGCCCCCCCCTTCCCCAGCGTGCCCGCCACGGTGCCCGCCAGAGCTCCCCACGGAGCCAGGTACCGGCAGGGCTGAGGCCTCCCTAGTGCTTTGTGTATGTTCAGAGAGATGATGAAAGCAGGAGGGTAAACAGCCACAGAGCAGGCCCTTGGCTGCTCATCAGCCTGAAGAAGCCCCCCCGCACCTGTCTCTACCGCTCGTCCCCCACCTCCATCCAAGGGGCAACAAACCCCTTAGGAGTCAGGTTGTAGCAGTTCCTGGGCAGCGACCTTTTAAACCATTCCTCAGCTTCACAATGAAGTCACCCGGCCACCTGGCCTTGCATTGCCTTTGGTTTGGGGTTCAGAGGCTAAGACACGCTTTATATCTCCAGCCCCCCAGCCCGTAACTGGAGCTATAATAAGGTAGTGAACAAAGGGTTCAAAAAGCCTTACCTGACTTTTCTATCAAACCTCTTCCTGGTGTTGTCTTTGTCTTTAGGCCTGGTTGAAAGGAACATCTATACATGGGGGGTTTTCTATGGAGATGGTGTGCCTCTTCCTTTTCACTACCTCCAGTTAGAGGTTCTCTTTCTGGCTCTCCTTTAGCTCCCCAATTCTTCCTGCCCAGCTTTGCAGCCTGTCAGAAGTGTGATGGGTGGTTTAGGAGTGCACCCCTCTGATCCTGGTTCTGGCCCTATCTCGGAGGTCTCTCTGAGTGTCAGAATCCTGACAAACAGCTGCTGGGTCTGTGGTTTGCCTGTACCCCAGCGTGAGGCTCTGGTTCCCAGGCCTCCACCTTTGACCTTTTGGAAGCGAGATCAGTCTAGGGGCTTAGTCTCTGGCCCTGGGGGATTGACAGCCTGTGAGCTTTCAAATTCAGCTTTCAAGTTCTTAGCTCTTTGTCATTTACCTTTTCCTTCAAGGCTCTCTTTACATCTCCTACTGAGAGGAGCACTTTTCTCTGTGATTAGGGTTGAGGAAACAGGGGTCAAAAGGTAAAGAGAAAGTTAGCCTCCTGGCTCAGATTTAAATTAGAACAGGAGCCTAGGATACTAGGTAGCATAAGGTGGAAATGTGTAAGAAGGCCCAGGGTTGCTTGTCTCAGATAGTTTCCTCAGAAAGGAGAGGTGTTTTCTTAGTCTCTCACCGGGTTGGGTAGTAGCCGGTCCTCGCCATCCAGGAGAGCCTACAAAGACACTGTGCCCAGTCCCTAGCAGAAGCAGAGTGCACAGGCTTGCTCTCTCGGTCTTTTTGCCTTACCTCACTTCCCTGCACCTTTCTTATTAGGCTACGTTATAGGGAGAGTCTTGACCTTTCACAAAGTTACCCCCAAGAAATACACTGTTGTCTTGCTTAGAGCCTCAAAGATACTGCTTCCATTGCCTAAACTTAATGAACCTTCAGAATTTTACTGCCCTCAGTGCTGTTGGCTAGAAATCGGGGTCCTATAACTCGGATTTCAGAGTGTAGCTGAGAAGGACTAGGAAGCCCCACTTGCCTCCAGCACCCAATGCTGGCAGGCTCAGTTGGGGGTCAGCAGAATTTCAACTGCCTGTGAGGGGCTTAGAGGGCTTCCCTTCTGCCACTTTCTTGATAGAAACTAGACATGTGGGAGAAAAAGACAGTATTTTTTCTCCCCCAGATGCTTCCAGAGTCCCCTCGGAAGAAGTAAGGGAGATAGTGGACAATTTATCTGGGGTCTACTCTTCTTCCCTTTGCCTCTGTTTCCCCAGTATATCCAAGCTGAACCACCTACCAACAAGTCCTTGTCTAGCCTGGTTGTACAGTTGCTACAGTTTCAGGAAGAAGTTTTTGGCAAACATGTCAGCAATGCACCGCTCACCAAACTGCCGGTGAGTGCAAAAGCAAAGGGATGAATTCTCCAAACTGGAGAGGGAGTTGTGGGGTTTTTGTAAATTTCATCCTTTTTGAGATTTGGGTAATTGCCTATTATCCCCATCCCGGGTCAGGGCATTACTGGCTTGCCCTAGTCCCCAATTTACCACTCCCTTTCTATGTCTTGTAATACTTTGTGCAACAAGGGGCGCCTGGCTGACCGAGTCCGTGGAGCATGCAACTCTTGATCTGGGGGTTGCAAATTCGAGCCCCACGTTGGGTGGAGAGGTTGCTTAAAATCTTAAAAAAAAAAAAAAACTTCATTCAACAGGTTATCTGAGAGTGTCTAAGCTCCTATACGAAATTCTCATGGCACGGTTAAAAGGGTACGAGATTTGAATTTACGTAGGCTTGTGTTCAAATCCTAGCCCTGCCACTTGGTATCTCTGTGATCTTAGGCAAGCCATTTAAACCTTTTGAGTATCTGTTCCTTCATCTCCAGATGGGATTAATATCTCTACCTTAGAGGGTTTCTGTAATGGTCAGTGAGGTAACCCAGTAAGTACGTGGCACAAATTGGGGCTTTGTGAATACTGGTTTCTTTCTCCCCTGCTTCTTCCAGGCCACGTGATACTGTGGCATAGAGGTTAAAGAATTCCAGCTTTGGGGGCTCAATCTATTGGGCCTCCAACTCTTGATTTTGGCTCAGGTTGTGATCTCAGGGTCCTGGGATTGAGCCCTGCGTCAGGCTGCATGCTCAGTGAGGAGTCTGCTTAAGACTCTGTCTCCCTCTGCCTCTCCCCCTGCACACTCTCACCCTCTCTCAAATAGATAGATAAATCTTAAAAAAAAAAAAAAAAAAGAATTCCAGCTTTGAGAGAGAGATTAGTTCAGTATGGGGTTTTGTGAAAGGATTGTTAATAAGAGAATTTAGGATGTAACTCTCACATAACTTCTTTCCTGTCTCAATTTTGTAGATCAAATGTTTCTTAGATTTCAAAGCAGGAGGCTCCCTGTGCCACATACTTGCAGCTGCCTACAAATTCAAGAGTGACCAGGGATGGTGAGATGCCTTCTTCTCTATGCTTCTTACATTTAGGGGGACTCCCCCTTTATGATTTCCTGGGTCTTTCTGGGGGTGGGAGAGCATAGGTAGACATTCTTGTTAGTCTCTTACTTTGCTAGGTCGGTAGACCTGACTTGCTGGGTCAGAAAAGTGGCTGAGAGTCAGAGCCAAAATAGTCTCCAAGAGTGAATGAGCATGTATGTGTGCATTGATGTGTATTATAGGGGAAAGGGGATTCTTTGGTTGGCCTCTCAACTTTTATTTGTCCTTTCGGATGAAGTACAAAGTGATTCATGGAGTTGAGATTAGTGAACCCCAGATCCCAGGCCATTTTGGCAACAGTTGTGAGCAACATTGCTTCCTGATTTCCCATGCTAAAAAGTCATATACCCTAACCTCATCTTCAGACCTGATCTAAACCACTCACTAGATTGTTGCCTCTTCTCAAGGCGGCGTTACGATTTCCAGAATCCATCACGCATGGACCGCAATGTGGAAATGTTCATGACCATTGAGAAGTCCTTGGTGCAGGTAATAGTCAAGAACCTTCCCCGCCCATCTCCTTTCCCTCAGTGAAAATCTAAAACACGCCTTCCCCATGATCTCATCCCATCTATTTCTTCTCCCCACAGAATAACTGCCTGTCTCGACCTAACATTTTTCTGTGCCCAGAAATTGAACCCAAACTGCTAGGGAAATTAAAGGACATTATCAAGAGACACCAGGTGAGTGGGTGGGTCAGAAGAAGGTTTGGACACTCCATGACTCTTTTCCTGATGTTTTCAGTACAATAAGCATGCCTTTGGGTGACGTGTTTTCTATTGCAAAGGTGCTCTCCCTACTTGGAAAAAGACTAGAGTTAAAGCCTTGAGCGTCTCTTTCTCAGTTCGCTCCTCCCATTTCCCAGTCTTGACAGGTTTGAATCACTGTTCCTAGAGACTGCATTGTCCTGAGAATTAGGAAAGCCAGAGATTGCCTGATTTCAGAGAAATAAAACCTTTACCCTGGAGCTCTGTAATAACCAGCAGATGCCCTTGCTAGGGACATACAGTCAACTTCACATTTCCCATGTGCAGATTATCTCTTCAGAGGATTATCTGTAGCAACTTTTAGTTCTTTAGTTTTTCTTCATCTTAGCACTCTCCCAGCGCTTTGCCTCTACGTCTCAGCTGGTGTGTGTTTAAAGAATGCAAACTAACTTTAATACCATTCTGAGCAAAATATGATTAGGAAGGCGGATCTGTGGTTAAATCTTCCTTTGGCTTATTTACACCCGTGAGTACTTCAGAGGGGACTGTTCACCTGCTTTTCCTCATGCCATCCAGGGGACAGTCACTGAAGATAAGAACAATGCCTCCCATGTTGTGTACCCTGTCCCAGGGAACCTGGAAGAAGGTGAGACCTGGCTTTCCCTGGCCTCTGCAGTGGATGGCTTAGACTAGGGGTGGGGGACTGTTCAGCCCCCGCGTAGTGCCTGGGCTCGTCCTCTCTGCCCTGAGCCCTCCTCCTGCCTTAGGTTCCTATTTTCAGGTCCTTGGCTGCAACACGAGTTGCGTACAGTTACTTTCCGTGTATCCCTTTAGCTTATATCTCTCCTTGTTCTGTCTCTGTCCCCAGAGGAATGGGTACGACCAGTCATGAAGCGGGATAAGCAGGTTCTTCTGCACTGGGGCTACTATCCTGACAGGTGAGGACAGGGTCCTGGGGCAGGTTTAAGTATAGGAGCCAGACTGAGAAGCCTTAGGACATCTAGCAAAGCAAGCAGACACTCTTTTGGGGTTATTTTTAGGTCTGTTCATTTGTTCTCCCCTTCTCTATTATGAGAATTTTCTGTCTTGGGAGAGGTTTGGACTTACTCGTTGAGGGTTAGGCTAAAAAGATTGGGGCTTTATGTGTGAAATGGTTATTCTGGTATAATCTGTGATAAATGTTAGAAACAGTCTAAATGTCTAACAGTGGGAAAATGTTTCAGCAATTTGTATATCTACTCAGTGGACTATTAGGCAGCCATTGAACTGATAGAAATAACATGGGGGAAAAAAAGAAATCACATGGATAATTTGTAGAAAAATATTAAATGCAAAAAGTATGATTATAAGATAACAGCTAGTGACATTGCCATTATGTAAAATCAAAATCATACAGGAAAAATTTACTGGGAAAAATACATATACCAAGTAGTTGTGTTGGGGTTATTCTTTTCTCTCTTTCCTTTTTTTTTTTTTTGGAGTTGCTCTTATTACTTTATAATGGAAGGAATCCCAATATTAATTGGAAAAATAGTCGTACCAAAAAATAACCCAACAACCCTATACTTTTTATAAGTGGAAAAGGTGACAGATATGCACTTTACTTTTCTGTGACTCCATCCTGTTGGTCCTACTTCACACTCAATTTCCCGTGGCAGTTACGACACGTGGATCCCAGCCAGTGAAATTGAAGCATCTGTGGAAGATGCTCCAACTCCTGAGAAACCTAGGAAGGTGAGCATTTCTTGTCCCCTGACCCCAGAAAGTATGCCAGGGGGCGCCTGGGGGGCTCAGTTGGTAGAGCGTGCGACTCTTGATCTTGGGGTTGTAAGTTTGAGCCCCACATTATGTGTAGATATTCCTTAGAAAATTTTTTTGAAAAAGACAAGTACCGGGACCAGACCACTCTTTGGAGGTGAAACACGGGCTCTCGTGTCCTTGGGCTTTTCGGTCAAGGGCACCCAGACAACTGTGGCTTTCAGGCTTCTCTCCAGCACAGCCTGCCTTTGTACTTCAGGTTCACGCAAAGTGGATTCTGGACACAGACACTTTCAATGAATGGATGAACGAGGAAGACTATGAGGTAAATGATGACAAAAGCCCCGTCTCCCGCCGAAAGAAGATTTCAGCAAAGACGCTGACGGATGAGGTGAAAAGTCCTTTCTTCCCTGATCCCTTAGCCTAAGTCTCGGGATAGGTCTTCAGTGGGGCTTGTTGGCTGACATTTGTTCCAACTCTCCAACCTGCAGGTGAACAGCCCAGATTCAGATCGACGGGACAAGAAAGGGGGGAACTATAAGAAGAGGAAACGCTCCCCCTCTCCTTCACCAACCCCGGAAGCCAAGAAGAAAAACGCTAAGAAAGGGTATACCAGCCCCTGCCCTGCCCCCACCTTCGCCATTCTCTCCACCCCATGGTGAAGGCAGGAAGGACAAACGCCTCCCCATAGCCACCTGGCCCTGAGCAGGGTAGGCCAGGTCCCTGCAGGTGTCCTGAGAGGGAGGATGAGGGTCGAATCTAGTTGCTCGGTTGTTAGTTCTAGCTGCAGCCCCCAGTGAACTCAGAGGGAGCTAAATCTTCAAGTGAAAGCCTTTGCCTTTCCCAATACTCTGTAGTGACTGGTTTCTGTGTGTACTCCGCTCCACCTTTGGGATTCTCTCTTGCTTGCTCCCCTTGAAATCTCAACTTCCAGGGACTCCTTGTCCGAGGATGACTGGGTTATCTTTCACTCCCTTTCCTTCCCAGTCCCTCGACACCTTACACCAAGTCGAAGCGTGGCCACAGAGAGGAGGAGCAAGAGGACCTGACAAAGGACATGGATGAGCCTTCACCAGTCCCCAATGTAGAGGAGGTGACGTTGCCTAAAACAGGTATGGGCCACACCAAGCTCCTGGGACCTACCGTCTGTCAGGGCTGAGTTCCCTCACCCCGCTTCAGGTCTGGAGGATCTTTCCCTTCAATTTAGCTGGTTATTAAAATTATTTTCATCACCACGGACAGTCTTCTGACTTTATCCGTATCAGAGTCGTGGCCTGGGCTTTGCGCCTGACAGTAGCTGTCCCTGGACAGCTTTTGATCAGGTACCGTGTCAGTAAAGTATTTAAGCACGAGTTCTGTATATGTGCTACTATACGGTTACTTTAGGAACATTATAAAACACATGCAAACACTACCTAAAAGGGGGGAGATGTAAAGGATAAGATTAAAAAAACCAATATAAAGAGAAGTTCTGCAATTCTCTGCCTAAATTCCAGTGGACCATCTCTTGTATCCCATGTGAGAACCCCACTTTGGAGACCATTGCTGTGCAATGTTAGAGAATGGTGCAGCTGCAAAGGTGGACTGTGGCCTGTATTCCGTAGACGAGCTCCAAATATCCAAGAGTGTATTTCAGGGGCGGGGAGGGGGCCACGGAGAGAGAGGAGGGCCAGCTTCCAGCCCCTTGGCAACCACAGCAGAGAGCACAGCGGCTCTCTTCTGTTTTCTCCTGAGCTGGTGGGTACGGATTCAGTTAAGGGAAGCCCTCTGCTTTAAAAAAAAAAAGTTGAAGGGCGCCTGGGTGGCTCAGATGGTTAAGCGTCTGCCTTCGGCTCAGGTCGTGATCCCGGGGTCCTGGGATCGAGTCCCGCATCGGGCTCCCTGCTCCTTGGGAGCCTGCTTCTCCCTCTGCCTCTCTCTCTCTCTGTCTCTCGTGAATAAATAAATAAAATCTTAAAAATAAAATAAAATAAAGTTGAAGATCCAACCACTCCTCTACAGAGCGATTTGGTCAGACTCTGTCTCCGTCCATTAAGAGCTCACAGACACATAGGTGGAGATAAGAGGGGCCTGTCAGAGACAGGAATGCTTTATGAGTGTCCATAGAGTAGAAGATGCTTCTTTATAGGAAAAAAGTTAAATGAATTTTTGGCGGTGGAAGAAGGGAGCGTGGCAAGTGAGTTTCAAGGCCTAGAATGACTGTGCCTGGAGGGAGTTACCACCTTTTGTGATCCGATGGATCTCTAGATGAGATCTCTAGAATTGTTAACGGTGGAGAGGTAAGGGCTTGGTTTGGGCAGAACCTGTCTGATAAAATGACTCTCTCTCCTGGCAGTCAACACTAAGAAGGATTCAGAGTCCGCGCCAGTCAAAGGAGGCACCATGACTGACCTGGGTAAGGAGGAGGGGAGGCTCCGCTGCCAGCCTTCCCTAGCCTGCCGGGACTTTTCAGAGAGTAGGGTCCTGCTGCCCCTCAGGAGGCTCCAACCTTCTCTTTTGCTGTCTCTCTCTTTCAGATGAACAGGAAGATGAAAGCATGGAGACCACGGGCAAGGTGGAGCCAGTTTAGAGAGGCCCTCTCTGCCTCTCTATGGGATTCTGAGTTGTGCTTATTAAGTTCCTTCTACCCAGAGCTTTCCACTGCCTGGAGTTTTCCCACCTTAGACTAGTTCTAGCTGTTGTTCAAAACTCAAAACTCTGACCCTTTCCAAGTTCCAGGGCCTATAACTGTTCATTCCCATACCCATTTTTAGTGCTCCCACTTTCCTGGGGTGTGGGAGAAGCAGAGGGTTGCCAGGGGCAAAATGGGAGTGCTGAGTGTCCAGCAGCCTCCATACTTGTAGGATGAAGATGAAAACAGTACGGGGAACAAGGGGGAGCAGACGAAGAATCCAGACCTACATGAGGACAACGTGACTGAACAGACCCACCACATCATCATTCCCAGCTACGCCGCCTGGTTTGACTATAATAGGTATTGTTGCTCCAGCTTCTCACTGTTTCTCTATTTCCCTGCCTCCAGGGGCCAACGAGCTGTTCCTCTTCCTGTCTCCACATAAGTTATTTCTTCATCAGCCGGGTATACTGGGGAACACTTCGGTTTTAGGGGAGTTCCTGGTCTCTTTGAGTCTTAGTGCCCTGGGGGAAGTTCTCCCCAAGGAAGGGAAAACTGCTTTGTTCTCCCTCCCTCCCTTCTAGGCTTTTCCTTCTGAGGCTCCCATCTTTCCACCAGTGCCTTCTGAACCTATTCTGTCTTTTCTTGCAGTGTTCATGCCATTGAGCGGAGGGCTCTCCCCGAGTTCTTTAACGGCAAGAACAAGTCCAAGACTCCAGAAATGTAAGGAAACCTCAGCACACGACTCTCTTTCTCCCTCCTGTCCCTGATCCCCGTTCCTGACCCAGCAATATTCTGTTTAGCAAATATTTCTTGAGTTCCTTCCAAGAGCCAGGCACTGTTCTACTCTTAGAAGACATGATTTCTGCCCACGGGCAGCCCCAGCCCAGCACCATGGCCACAGTAGCTGCTCTCTAGGATTGCCTGGGGGGCAGGATTAAGCATGGTCTTCTGTACAAAACGGGTCCCTCTCTGATGCCTCCATTTCTTTCAACAGAGTCCAGAGCCTTCCAATCCATCATTACTAAGATATCTAAAACGCAGATATCCCCAGCATACATAATAGCTTTGACTAAAATGTATATGACCATGCTGGTCCCTGAGAGTAGGTTTTAATAGAAAAACAAGAGGAGGGGGGCGCCTGGGTGGCTCAGTCATTAAGCGTCTGCCTTCCGCTCAGGTCCTGATCCCAGGTCCTGGGATCGAGCCCCACATCGGGCTCCCTGCTTGGCGGGAAGCCTGCTTCTCCCTCTCTCGCTCCCCCTGCTTGTGTTCCCTCTCTCGCTGTGTCTCTCTCTGTCAAATAAATAAATAAAATCTTAAAAAAAAAAAAAGACAATAGAAGGAACTATGAAGATCCAAGACTCTGAATTAAGGGATGGAGAAGCCTCTGGAGAGAATTGTGTAAAGTGCAGGCTTGGGGCTTGGAAGTCTTCATCTTCGTCAAGGTGTTGCCTCAAGCCAAACCTATTTGGCTTTGAATGAGTCTTGGCAGTCTTCTATGGTTAGGGATGCTCCAGGATAAATGTCATAATGAGAAGGGTGAGAAAGTGTTGACCTCCCTGAGAACCGAATGGGCTTGCTTCCCAGCTGTTCCTCAGCTTCCCCTCTCTGGGGGCTGTCTTGCCTTCCCACCATGTTTCTTTCCCTGTAGCCTGCGATGGTTCTCTCCTCTTCTTCCTGGGGAAAGCTGTATGTATGAAGAAGCTTGCTGTCTCCAGAGGAAAAGGGAGTGATGACCTGGTGACAGGAGTTCAACCTGGTCTGTAGGCAGGGCTGGATCTAGAATTGTTCTACACTTTGTTCTCTTGGTGTGAGATAGTAAATAGTGATAATTTGCCTGTGTTTACTGAAAGCTTCCTATCTCCCAGGCACTATCCTGAGTGTCTTACAGGTATGGACTAATCTTCATATCGGCTTTAGAGGTAGGTCCTATTATCCTCTCCAGTTTACTGATTAGGAAACTGAGATACAGAGAGGTTAAGTCACTTGATTAAGGTCACACAGCCAGTGAGTAGAAAAACCGGGATCTGAATCCTTTAGACTGGCTCATGTTCTCAAACTTTATGCTATACCACCCAATAGCTACCATTTGCTGAGCTGCTGAAATGTACCTGGCACTGTACTAGATCTTTACAGGTCTTTCTATTCCTCCGCAGACACTCCCACTTTACAGATTAGGAGACTGTGGTTCCAAAACTTTAAGTAACTTGCCCGAGGCCATCATGGAAGAATTGGGATTTGAACTTAGAGCTTTCCACCTTCAAAATATATATTCTAGGGGCGCTTGGTTGCCTCCGTCAATTAAGTGTCCGACTTTTGATTTTGGCTCAGGTCATGATCTTCGGGTCATGAGATCAAGCCCAGCATCAGGCTCTGCACTGGGCATGGAGCTGCCTAAGATTCTCTCTCTCCCTTGGGGCACCTAGGTGGCTCAGTCAGTTAGGCATCCAACTAGTGATTTTGGCTCAGGTCATGACTTCATGGGTCTTGGAATCAAGCCCTGCACTGGGCTTAGTGGGGAGTCTGCTTGAGATTCTCTCCCTCTGCCCCTCCTCCCACACACACGCACTCTCTCAAATAAATCTTTAAAAAAAATAATATTCTCTCTCTCTCTGTCCCTTCCCTGTGCACGCTCTCTTTAATAAAAAATATAAATATAAATATATGTGTGTGTGTGTGTGTGTGTATATTTTTTTTCAGTGAGCTCCACACCCAGTGTGGGGCTTACTTAAAAAACAAAAACATACATTCTTTATATAGCACGTCATGCTGACTAGTTGGATGCATGGATAGACTTCCCCTTAACACCTGCCTTTGGAAGTAAGGGCACTTTTTCTTGCTTTTTGATTGCTTGTTCAAAAGTTTGATGAAACTTCCCCAAGTACAGCCAAGGAGATGATTATTTTATTTTATTTTATTTTATTTTTTATGTTATTTGTAGGATTTTATTTATTTATTTGACAGAGAGAGACACAGCGAGAGAGGGAACACAAGCAGGGGAAGTGGGAGAGGGAGAAGCAGGCTTCCCGCGGAGCAGGGAGCCCGATGCGGGGCTCGATCCCAGGACCCTGGGATCATGACCTGAGCCAAAGGCAGACGCTTAACGACTGAGCCACCCAGTCATCCTGAGATGATTCATTTAACTGAACAACTGCCATCGAGGAAAACGTGGCAACGGTTGAACCCGTTGCATCTAGCACGTAGTAGACCTGCAGTGTTTACCGAGGCAGACAGTCCACTTTGTTCTTTGTCACACAGGAGGAACCATCACCTCTTTTATCACCTTTCCTACCCCTCAGTCCTTAGTGGACTTATTTTTCTTCCTCTCATTCATCTCTCCCCTAAGCTACCTGGCTTATCGAAACTTCATGATTGACACGTACCGGCTGAACCCCCAAGAGTATCTCACCTCCACCGCCTGCCGCAGGAACCTGGCTGGTGATGTCTGTGCCATCATGAGGTGGGTTTGCAGCTGAGGGGAGGGCGGTCCATAAGGATGTCTGCCCACAGAAGTCTCTTGGCAGAAGGAGAGCTGCCAGCAAAGAGCATAGAGGAACAAGCAGGAAAAAAAAAAACACTTCCAGAGAAAGGCACAGTTCACGTTCAGGGCATGTGTGAGACTTGAGGGAATGGCAGTGATGTTCTCTGGCATGTGGAAGAAAGGAGTGCGCGTGTAGTTGAAGGATCCTGGTTCACTTTTCCTGGCTCTCCCAGAAGAGATGATTACTAGGTGGGCGGATATGGAGAGAGGTCCTGACTGGAGACGGAGGCCTGGGTGTCACTGGGATTTAGGGATTTGCCAGGGAGTAGAATGGGCAGGGAAGAGGGCTGGGGGAAGGGAGTTTTACACCCCCACCTCTGCCCCTTTCTGGCAGCCCCATGTGACCCTGTGTCCACCTCTCTCCTGCCAGGGTCCATGCCTTCCTAGAACAGTGGGGTCTTATTAACTACCAGGTGGATGCAGAGAGTCGACCAACCCCGATGGGGCCTCCGCCCACCTCTCACTTCCATGTCTTGGCAGACACGCCATCAGGGCTGGTGCCTCTGCAGCCCAAGACCCCGCAGGTAGGGTGAGGGGCTGTGGGGGTGGGGGGGTGCACTGGGAAAAACTGGGCTTCTTTGGACTTTTCTTTTCCTGGTTTTTTAGGGTAATGGTTCAGGAGTGTTTTGAGGCTTCTTCCTTTTCCATGGGATGCAAAGGGCTACAGGAGGCAGCCCCGTGTGTTTAGCACCCTCTCTCAGCCTCTGCACCTAAGACTGTGAGGACTTGCTGAGGGAGAAGAGATGCTCCTTGTCCTCGAGGAGCAGACAGGCCAGTGTAGGGTGTGGAGCAGATAGAGAAAAATGGCGGAAAATTAAGTTGCATGAAATTTTTGAACTTTGTCATGTTTCCAACATTTTTTTCATTTTTGCCTCATAATTATTGTCACTTCCATTTTTTCCCCTCTTTCATTCCATACATTACTAAAATTAAGTGGAGACAGATTATGTGGCTTGCCCAGGGTCACAGAGTACCAAATCTAGGATTAGAACCCAATTGTCCAGCTCCTGAGGGAACCTATAAAGTTCGATGTGAATACAAATGGGGATCATGCCAACTACAGATCTAATTAATCATTAAGGGAACACGGAACAGTGGCATGAGTGCCTCCAGAGCTTGTGGGCCGCCCAGCACTTGGTCTTGAGGCCTCCAGGGCCTTGGCCTGGTCATTTTCTGCCCAGCCTCCATGACGCCAAGCTCTGTCCCCCAGGGCCGCCAGGTTGATGCTGATACCAAGGCTGGGCGAAAGGGCAAAGAGCTGGATGACCTGGTGCCAGAGACGGCTAAGGGCAAGCCAGAGCTGGTAGGTGGGGTGTAGACCCCGCTGGGCTTCTTATTTGCCCCTTTATTGGGGGGCCCCTGCGCGGGGAGAAGAGACGTGAGAGCAAGGAGCTACAGCAGTGAGGGAGGAAGTCCCCCCCACCCCCAGGGGTGTCCCTGGCTTCGGGAAGGAAGCTCCTTCTGTCTGTTTTCTCTCTCTGTCTGCCCCTGGCTCCTGTGGTCACTCGTCCTCACCTCTTCTTTCCCCTCCACAAATAGCAGACCTCTGCTTCCCAGCAAATGCTCAACTTCCCTGACAAAGGCAAAGAGAAGCCGACAGACATGCAGAACTTTGGCCTGCGCACAGACATGTACACAAAGAAGAACGTCCCCGCCAAGGTATGGAGGTGTGGGCTGACTGCAGGTGGGGAGCGCCTTCACCCTTCAGAAATCACGGGCTCCTCTCTCTGACCCGCCTGTTTCTCCTGCAGAGTAAAGCTGCGGCCAGTGCCACTCGAGAGTGGACGGAACAGGAGACGCTGCTCCTCCTGGAGGTAATTGGGGCAAGGAAAAGGAGAATTTTCTATGAAAACAGAAGTGGCCAGGGTGCCGGCCACACTCGTGAGTGGGCAGAGCGTGATCTTGTCCCCAGTCTCTCTCTTCCCTGATGCCCACCGCACCTGCCCCAGGGAACAGCTCCAGGCCAGGCATTTGGGCCATTTCATTAACTCCGTATCCTCTCGTAGTGCTACTTGGAGATCCCCCTGGGACCCAGCAGAATCCACAAATACCACAACACAGAGAGCTTTGAAGCCCGCTGCCCTTAGTAGGATGGGGGGAGTTGACCTTCAAGGAAAGTGGCTAAGTAAGGAAGTTGTGTCTCCACCACTACCACCAGGCACTGGAAATGTACAAAGATGACTGGAACAAAGTGTCAGAGCACGTGGGAAGCCGCACGCAGGATGAGTGCATCTTGCATTTTCTTCGTCTTCCCATTGAAGACCCGTACCTGGAGGACTCAGAGGCCTCCCTGGGCCCCCTGGCCTACCAGCCTATCCCCTTCAGTCAGTCAGGCAACCCTGTTATGAGCACTGTTGCCTTCCTGGCCTCTGTCGTCGATCCTCGAGTCGCCTCTGCTGCTGCGAAGTCGGCCCTAGGTAATGTGGAGGGGTCCTGGCCTCTTTGGTTTGAAAGGCTGATTGCTCAGACCTAGCAAGGCCCTCACGTTTGGCCGCCCTGCTGGCCCTGTCTGCTGCTGGTGCCAGCTCAGGGCTTAGGCACCTGTCGAGCTCCACGCGGGTCTAGATGAAGAGATGGGCTTCCAAAGCAGCTTTCGCAGGGACAGCCGCAACGGCCTGCCCGCCCCTGCCCCCAGCCTTGTCCTCTCTGGATCTTGCAGAGGAGTTCTCCAAGATGAAGGAGGAAGTGCCCACGGCCTTGGTGGAGGCCCACGTCCGGAAAGTGGAGGAGGCAGCCAAAGTGACGGGCAAGGCAGACCCGGCCTTCGGTCTGGAGAGCAGCGGTATCGCAGGAACCACCTCTGATGAGCCTGAGCGGATCGGTGAGGCTGCCAGCTGCCCCGAGGCCTCCCCTTTGGAGTCCCTGCCTCGCCTCGTCTTCACAGCACGAGACCCACGGGGAGGACGGGTGGGGCTTTCATCGTCCCCAGGACTCTACCTTTGCTACCGAGGCCCCCTCCCAGCCCTCTCACTAGGATTTTGGCTAGGAGAGCGGGCTTTTGGAAAAAAGCCTTACAGAGACAGACTCTGTATCAAACATTTCCCATTTTCTCCACCCCCCCCCACCCCCCGGGCCCAGAGGAGAGCGGGACGGATGAGGCACGGACAGAGGGCCAGGCCACAGAGGAGAAGAAGGAGCCCAAGGTATAGCGGGCCCGAGCTGGCCTGGGAGGGTGGAGGTGCCAGGTGTGGCAGCGTGGGGAGGGGAGTCAGAGTACCTCCGACGGAGGAGGTGGAGGTTCACCTCCCATCCTGGCCTTCTGTGTGAGGACCAGCCGCCCTGATGTTATCCACTTTTCTTTCATGGGCACCTCAGGAACCCCGAGAAGGAGTTGGGGCTGCCGAAGAAGAAACAAAGGAGAAGACCAGCGAGGTCCCCAAGAAGGACGAAGAGAGAGGGAAACAAGGTGACAGCGAGAAGGAGTCAGAGAAGAGCGACGGGGACCCCATAGGTGAGCCTCCCAGCATGGTGGTTGGGTGTCTAGGGGAGAGAAGTGGTCGGCAGGCCTGACCCCACCTTCTTCCTGGCCCAGTTGACCCGGACAAGGAGAAGGAGCCAAAGGAAGGGCAGGAGGAAGTGCTGAAGGACGTGGTGGAGTCGGAGGGGGAGAGGAAGACGAAGGTGGAGCGGGACATCGGTGAGGGCAATCTGTCCACCGCCGCCGCTGCCGCCCTGGCCGCCGCCGCTGTGAAGGCCAAGGTGAGGGCCAAGGGCCCAGAAGACCCCCAGGGAAGGCGCTGCCCCCTGCTCTGATCTCACTTCCCACGCTCACGTCCATGATGCTGGCCTGTTTCCTTCTCAGTTTGATCTGAGAGGGAGAGTTGGTCATCTCTAAGCTCTTCAAAGCTTTTTACCATTAGGCCTGTTTTTATCCACTAATTATTTGACCTTGTCTTACCTTTTGCCACTCTTTTTTTTTTTTTCATGTTCTTTTAAGAATATGAAGCCTTTGCTACTCTGTGGGTTGTGACCACAGCAAATTCTTTCTTGAAATCCGCTGGCCTCTTCTCTAGTGCTCTGTCCCTGGCCCGCCTCCGGTGGGCCCTCCCGCTCACGTGCCGCCCTCCCCGCCTTCCCTAGCACCTGGCCGCCGTGGAGGAGAGGAAGATCAAATCGCTGGTGGCCCTGCTGGTGGAGACCCAGATGAAAAAGTTGGAGATCAAACTCCGGCACTTTGAAGAGTTGGAGACCATCATGGACCGGGAGCGAGAGGCAGTGAGTAGCACCCCCTGGGGGCCAGTGGAGCCAGGGGCCACACTTTGACACCGAGCCAGGCCTGGGTTTAGGATGGGGGTCAGCAGCAGCGGAGGAAGCCTGAGAGTGACCCGGCTTCAGCATAGAGGGGCAGTAGGAGCTTGCCCCGGGCGGTTGGGGACACAGTGGCCCACAGGCGAAGCCTGGAGCCTGAGGTCCCACAGAATGTTGGCATCCTGGGGCAGAGAGTCTGGTCGGTTTTTTCATTGCCTCATGTCCAGGTCCTTGAACAGTGTTTGACACATTGTAGACTCTCAGTAAATAAGTATCTGTTGAGCCATCGAGTAGGTTTAAGGGATGAGAGGGAAGGGGCTTCAGATCCAGGAGGTGAACTTGGAAAGGGGATGGGATGGGCAAGGTATATATAAGACAGGGATCCTAACAGAACCTACGGTTTAATTGGAGACGTCCAATATTCATACGGAGGCATCAAAAACAGTGAATGCTTAAAGTATCTGACAAATTCAGATTATAAGTCCTGAGAGATAACAAAATAACGGCAAAGCTCAGAGGCTAAAGAGTTGATCTGGGATGGCTTCCTAAGAATGGTGAATGTTCAGTCAATTTTGAGGGAAGAAAAGAACACGAGTTGACGAGAGGAACTGGAAGCATTTTCCAAATGAAAATAATGATAGGGGCGCCTGGGTGGCTCAGCTGGTTAAGCGTCTGCCTTTGGCTCAGGTCATGGTCCCAGGGTCCTGGGATGGAGACCCACATCGGGCTCCCTGCTCAGTGGGGAGCCTGCTTCTCCCTCTCCCTCTGCTGGCATGCCGCTCCCCCTGCTTGTTCTCTTTCTCTTTCTGACAAATGAATAAATTAAGTCTTTTTAAAAAAAAAAAAAAAGAAAATAATAACAGAGGGGCACCTGGGTGGCTCAGTGGGTTGAGCATCTGCCTTCGGCTCAGGTCGTGGTCCCAGGGTCCTGGGATGGAGCCCCGCATCGGGCTCCCTGCTGGGGGGTGGGGGGGGCTGCTTCTCCCTCTGCCTGCCGCTCCCCCTGCTTGTGCTCTCTCTCTCTCTCTCTCAAATAAAATCTTAAAAAGAAAGAAAGAAAAGAATGCCAGAGTCAGAGCTTTGGAGCTGAAACGAATAAGGGCTCCCACTAGGATGAGTCCCATCGCAGTGAGAAGCCATGCGGGCACCAGAAGACACAGTGGTGGGAATAGTAGAGGAAGAACAGGGCAGAGCCCGGGACGCCCAAGCCCAAGATTGGCATTTGGTGTGGGGAGCTGCCCTACCGAGAGGTGGGGTGGGTCAGAGGGCGGAGCAGGGCGCGGCCCGTGCTTGCAGCTGACGGGCACCGATGCTCACTTGGCTCCGGCAGCTGGAGTATCAGAGGCAGCAGCTCCTGGCCGACAGACAAGCCTTCCACATGGAGCAGCTGAAGTACGCGGAGATGAGGGCCCGGCAGCAGCACTTCCAGCAGATGCACCAGCAGCAGCAGCAGCCCCCGCCAGCCCTGCCGCCGGGCTCCCAGCCCGTCCCACCGGCGGGCACTGCCGGGCCGCCCGCGCTTCACAGCCTGGCTATGGCTCCAGCCTCCGTCGCCCCTGCCCCCGCTGGCGGTGGGGCTCCCCCCGGAAGCTTGGGCCCCTCTGAACAGATTGGGCAGGCAGGGTCAGCCGCGGGGCCACAGCAGCAGCAACCAGCTGGAGCCCCCCAGCCTGGGGCAGTCCCACCAGGGGTACCCCCCCCTGGACCCCATGGTAAGTGATAGCTTCCGGAACACTTGCTGGCCAGGGGGCTCCGGGTGAGCGTTCCGATTTGCCCTCGAAAGGGATGTAGGACGGGACTGGAGATTTCTACAGATGGGCTCACCTCTGTGACATCCCTGAGTCAGCAGGGCTCCCTCCCCACATCCACATCTTTGAGGTGTTGTTCCAAGGATGTACCACTTAGTCCCGGGTCGGGAAAAGCGGTGCTGAGGCGTGGCCACATCATCCTCACTATGCCAGGGAGATTTTCTGCCTCTAACCTTCTTGGTCTCTGCTCTTTGTTCCCAGGCCCCTCGCCGTTCCCCAACCAACCAACTCCTCCCGCAATGATGCCAGGGGCAGTGCCAGGCAGCGGGCACCCAGGCGTGGCGGGTAATGCTCCTTTGGGTTTGCCTTTTGGCATGCCGCCTCCTCCTCCTCCCGCTCCATCCATCATCCCATTTGGTAGTCTAGCCGACTCCATCAGTATTAACCTGCCCCCTCCTCCTAACCTGCATGGGCATCAGCACCATCTCCCGTTTGCCCCGGGCACTCTCCCCCCACCTAACCTGCCTGTGTCCATGGCGAACCCTCTACATCCTAACCTGCCGGCGACCACCACCATGCCATCTTCCTTGCCTCTCGGGCCGGGGCTCGGATCCGCCGCAGCCCAGAGCCCTGCCATTGTGGCAGCTGTTCAGGGCAACCTCCTGCCCAGTGCCAGCCCACTGCCAGGTGAGCAGCATCCTGGAGGGGAGGAAGGGGGAGGGAGAGGGGTCCACACGGAGGGACGGGCGGGGGGGCGGGGGCAGGTAGGGGAAGGGCTTAGCTAATAGAACTTGCACAACCCTTTTTGAACGCTCTGGTAAATGAGAACACAGGGGGAAGGGCCTCTCTGGCTGTCCTCCGCCATTCCCCACCCGGCAGCTGCCAGCTCTGGGATGACGTTGGGGCCTTTCACTGGTGGGTCACGGAGGAGTCCTAAGGCACAGCATCTCAGTTGTAAACTTGAAAAACAGCTACCCGTTTGCATGATGATCGGCACCCCCTTTGCTTGTTCCCATCACGTTCCAATGCCCCGTTTAGAGTTCCCTTGGGGGCAGGAAGATTTGGGGTATTTCGGTTTTCCCAGTGTGAGGTGGGAGAGGGCGTTGGGGAAAGGCTACCTCGGTCACCTACCCACCCATTGCATGCCATGCCCAGTTCTGTTTGTCTGAGGTGGCCTGCGTCTGGATCCCTCTCCTGCTCACCCTGGCTGATTCCTCTTCCTTTTCTCCACAGACCCAGGTACCCCCCTGCCTCCAGACCCCACGGCCCCGAGCCCAGGCACAGTCACCCCTGTGCCACCTCCACAGTGAGGAGCCAGCCAGACATCTCTCTCCCTCACCCCCTATGGAGATCAAGGTTCCAGGAACAGCCCTCTCCCCACCACTGGGACCCTTCCCCAGCCTGGAGAGTTCATCACTACGTAAGGAAAGCTCCTCCTGCCCCTCCAAAGCCCCCACCATGCCTGTCAGAGGCATGCATTTTTATATCGGATTATTCAAGGACTTCCGTTTAAAAGATGTTTCTAATGTCTGGGAGAGAGGATAGGATGGGGATGCTGCCCTCAAAGAAAGGGCTGGGGAAAGGTGTTTATACAAGGTTCTAATTAACCACTTTTAAAGGTGCACCCCCTCAAAACTACTGCATTTTTTATGGACGGAAAAAAAAACAACGAAGCCCTTTAAAGGAAGCAGAGAGATATAAGAAGGCCACATTGGAGCTCCCTCCACCCACTAAAAAAAAAAAAAAAAAAAAAAAAAAATCCAACTTTTACATTTTTTGGAGGAGGGAGGTGACAGGAAAGGGGAATTAAGGTTCTGGGAGAGCTCTGGGGATAGAATAGGGTGCAAAATCTGTCTCCTCCAGTCCCTCGTTAGTGACCGAATCAACTCCCAAACCCCCTCAGCCACCCCAACCCCAGTTTATTCCTACTAATCTCTCCTGCTGCCTCCTCAGTGTTGCTGTTTTAGGCCACCCCAGCTCAGCCAATGACCCCTTTCCCCCTGAATGTCAGTTTTGTGTTTTTAAAAGTCACCTGCGTAGTTGATGTCAGCGTATGTGTATTTGGTGGGGAAACGTATTTTGGGGATTCCTGTGGTAGGTAATAGAGGAAAAAAGGGCCCTGTCCCTCCTCCCTGGGCCCTGTCCCTGGGCTCCTAGAAGACACGGAGAGGGGAGCTAGAGAGGAGGGGGAGTTGTAAAAACCTGAATTTTTCAAAAAGCACTTAAGCACCTCCTTCTTATGACTTGGTGGGTCACCCCTCTAACCTCTTCTACTAAGACCATCAGAACCTTGACTGGTAGCTGGGGGTTCCCTGGGATTTGGGGACAGTGGAGGAGGGGTGCCAGACCCAGGGTAGTGCCTACCCCCAGCTTGCAGCTCGGCTCTGCTCCTGGATTCCACTGCCTCCCCTACCACCTTTCCCTTCTTCGTCCTTGACGTGAAGGCAGCCCGGACTCCAGGCTCTCCACCGGTTCTTCCCGGCCCCTCCCACCAGGCCTTTGTTCCTCACATCCCGTGTTTCTCTTCCTCTGCGTCTTGGCACCTTTCTTCCGTTCAAAAGTTTTCTGTAAATTTTCTTTTTTCTTTTCTTTTCCTTTTTTCTTTCTTTCTTTCTTTCTTTTTCTTTTTTTTTTTTTTTTTTATAAATTAATTTGCTTTCAGTTCCATCTTGTGAATGCCTTCTGTGTTCTCTGATCCGTGGCTGTCAGGCAGGGGGATTCGGGCTGGGGGCAGCCTTCCCAGAGTCCTTCCCAGGGGCATTCGCTGCCATGGGCACGCAGACACTGGGCCTCTCTCCGCAACGGGCTGCAAGCAGCACAGATGTCGGGCTGTGCACGGGTACAGAGTCGGGTACAGGCTCTCACCTGCTCCAGAAATAGCCGTTTGAGACTTGGAAGGACATCCTCACAACCTGGAGATTTTGTGTATTTATCCTTGCAGAAGTAAGGGCTTCATTCCTTCCCTTATTAGGCGGGAAGAAGGCAGGCATCTCATGTACTTGTGTTATTATTGGCCCCTAGCCCTGCCGAAGTGACTGACAAGCTCGGGCAGTGCTGATACAGCCTGGCTTTCGCTCCATCAGACACTCCCTGGGCTTTCCCCACCAAAGGCCGTGTCAGTGCTTGGGAGGGTGAGGGCTGGGTTTAACCAGTCGGAGCGCTAGGAGGACCTCCTGGGTAAGAGACAGAACGAGGACGGTCAGCCCTGATCCTACAGGGATGTATGGCTTCCTTAATCCCCCAAGAGGTAGCCTTTGTAGTAGCATCAATGAATGGGGCCAGCATTTCTTAAATGACACAAAGATGGATCCTACAAGCCCTTCCCCCAGCTTTCCCAGCCCCTGGTCTATTGACCCTAGATGGTCTCTCCTCCCCCCCTTCACCCTGCTCACGAAGGAAAGCAGAACCATGCTTAGGGCACAGAGCAAGTTTATTTGGTGAATGCTGACAGCAATATCATCCAAGAGAGACGAGCTGGCAAAGGTGCTGTGACAAGAGGACCTAGGACGCCTTCAGGGCTACATGCAGTCTCACACAGGGGAAGGCACAGGGCTCGGGCACACCAGGAACGTCCTCAGCCATTCAGCACCATACGGACGAGCTCTGTGGATGAGAGAGAGGGGTGAGCCAGGGAGTAGGGCTGCAGGGAGGGGTCCACCAGGGGCCAGGAGACCATAGGACCACAAGGGTAGCACAGGAGCGTGCCCGCAGAAACCAACCTTGGCTTTGCAGAGGAGCCACCTTGAGTCTGCCCAGTTCTCTCGGCCCCCAGCTCCCCTCCCACCTGCTGTTAGCTCCTCCACCCCACCCTGAGCAGCAAGAACACAGCAGGAGGCAGAGAAGTTCTCAACTACACCTACAGCTACTGTCAGCCATTGGCAGGAGAAGACAGAGGTTTGGGTTAGGGTACCTCCAAGCTGCCCAGCAGAAGGAAGAAGAAAGGACTAATCAGCTATAGCAGCACGATGGGGCAGGCAACCAACCCCCCTATGCCAACCACCTATCCCCAGGGCCAAAGGAGCACCCTGAAGCAAGACGGGGACAGGCCGGTGCGAGTTCCCAGACGCTAGCACCCCAGGCCCTATAAGCAAAACCTCAGAGCCCATTCTAGGAGAAAAGGAGGTACCACACCCCCAGGCTGTCTTCCTCTTTGAGGAACCCCTCCCCTGCCCTCCCCAGTCAGCTCCATGCAGAAACATGCCAGGAGGAAGTCAGATGGTAGTAGGGGAAGGGCAAGGGCTAGAGGGCAGAGCTTGGGCAGAAAAACACTGGGGAGGGGGCAACCAGAGAAGGGGAGGCTGGGAGGAGCCGTACCCGCCCCATGGGCCCGTCACCCCGACAGGATATGCCTCACAAATGCTGCAGGAAGGAAGAGACATTCATGGTGAAGACCAGACACAGACATGGGGTGAAGGTGTCAGGTAGTGGGGGAACAGACATTCCCTGATTTGACTCCCCCCCCCCCCCCACCACACACAGTACCCCTTCCTTTCCTATTCCCATGGCCTCCCACTCCTGGGCTGGGCTGGGCCCTGCTCCTTGCCTTCTGGCTCTTTTTGGAGCCAGGGACAGGGAGAGGCCTAAATGCCGGGCATGACCTGCCTGCACAACTTGCTTCAGGAGAGCCCCAGTTCATCCCTCACCTTCATAGTTGATACAACCATTGCTGTCCTCGTGCCCTGCCACCAGCATCTCTACTTCTTCCTCCGTCATCTTCTCACCTACAGAGGGAAAGAAAAAAAAAGCATTTTGGGAACTGGGTGGAAGGTGTGTATCAGGTGACACCTCCACTCAAGGAGCAAGGGCAGAGCCTTACCCAGGGTGACAAGAACATGCCGGATTTCAGCACCCATGACCGTGCCATTCCCTTCCTTGTCAAACACCCGAAGGCCTTCGACGTAGTCCTCGTAGGTGCCCTGGTCCTTGTTCTTGGCCACAGTCTGCAGCATGGGCAGGAAGTGTTCAAAGTCCAGCACCTTCACATTCATCTCTGCCATAAAGGAGGTGGAAGGAAAGTCACACAGGTTCTCAGGACTGAGATTACAGGGACCACAGGTGAGCAGGTGGCTCCCACTCAAAGCAGGAGAGATCTGTGGGATTTGCTAGTTGAGACAAACCTGCTTGAGTTCTGGTCTATGAAGACAAAGGGAAGCTCTCAGCTGAACAACTGTAGGCCCATTACCACACTGAGAAATTGTTCGTGAGGACCCTCACCATCGCTCTTGGGATTCCCCAGGACCTTGAGCACCTCGGCGTTGGTGGGGTTCTGGCCCAGGGCCCTCATCACGTCCCCACACTGGCTGTACAGGATCTTGCCATCCCCTGTCCGGTCAAACAGCTGAAAGGCCTCCTTGAACTCTGAAGATTCAGATACACATCAGTACTGAGCATTTGGGGGTTAACCCATACCCGCCCTCACAACCCCTTCTGCCCAACTTTGATCATGCTGAGGCAACCAGGTATTTGTACTGCTGTACACCCAAGTCCACTAAGAGGGGCCTAGTGTCCCTGTCTCCCAACACAGGTGTCCCACATAATGACACAGCCTTCCTCCCCCCTGGGCAGAACGGTCACATCCATTCACAGGCCCCTCTGCCTACAGCAAGCCTGCCCAGCCTCCTCACTACTCGGCTCAGGGCAGGAATTTGCCACCGCCCTGTCTGGGTCCTGTCCTTATAAGGAAGTGGGAGCAGCAGCCTGGGACTGGGGTCATCCCAGCCTGCCACTTCCCACCCCTCCTGTACAGAAAGAGACCTTCAGAGGGTACAGCTATGAAGTATCCTCAGCAAATCCCCCTGTCCCCATTTCCTCAAAATTCCAGGTCACTGCTTTTTACAATCTTAACAATTCCAAGCTGGGGCGGGGGCTGTTATCGCAGGAGGAGAAAAGAGGCAGAAGCTGATTAAAGGACAGGAGCACAGGCAACTTAATACACCCTCCCCACACCACACACACAGCAGGCATTAGGTGACCAAGTTGTTTCACATACCCACACCACCTAAAACTCACGCGGGGCTTGGGGCTCGGATCTAGAGTGGAAGGGGAGGGAGGAAGAAAGAGTGAGAAAAGAAAATGGAGGATCCAGAAAGAGGGAGAAGGGAATCCAGGAAGTACTTCCCTGGGGGTGCTGAAGAGATGACAGGTTGGGGTTAGGAGGTGGGTGCTAGAGGCGGGGTCCCTCTCCCTAAACATGACCTCAGTAGGGGTCAGAGATTACTTACCTGCAGTCTGGTCCTCGGTGAAGTCACACTGCTCAGAGAAGAGGGGAGCAGTCAGCATCTGAACCCCAATGCCCCAAGCTTCTATCCCAGTCCCACAAACTGAACCACAAACTCCTGTTCCGTGCTGGGGACTCGTTTCCCGACAGGACAGGACTCCTAAACTTTCCAACCCCACCCCCGACCTTCCAGGCCCTCAGGTTCCCTTTGCAAACCCCTACCCCCGATTTCCCGCCTCTCGCCCCAAATCCCGCTCATCGTTCCAGGTCCCGGGCCCCACCATCTTGACGGCTCCGCTCCGCGGGACCTTTTCCTGCAGTAATGGCTCCGGTTCCCGGCCCAACCCTAGCCTTAGTACGTCCCAAGGACGTCACCCTCAGCTGATCCAGCCAATAGGAGTCCAGGCCTGGCTTTATGCAGATAATATTGCTACATTAGTAATGAGGTGGGCGGGGCCCGCTGCTGCTTCCTCCCGCATAGCCCTACCTTGGGGGTAGGAAACTGTAGAAGCGGGTCGAGCGGGGCGCGGGGAAGCTGCTCCTCCGTGCAGCGGGAAGATCAGAGGATATCGGACTGGGGAGAGGGGAGAGCCCACCCTGCCCGCCCTCCCGCCGCCCCCGGTCCCACGACTGAAGAAGAAAGCAACAGTCGGACGCCTAGGGAGGAACCGTCTCTTTATTTTAAAACAATAGTTGGCCTCCTAGTGGCAGGAACGTGCTTCCGCCTGCCGGGGAAGGGGGGCAGTGTCCGACCCCGCCGCATCTGTGGAAAAAGACGAAAGCTGCCAAGGCCTGTCGCTCGCGCGCAGCAGGACACGAAAACGCACTTCCCTGCTTTTCTGCCCTGGCTGCGGGAAGGAAAGGAAACTTGCCCCTCCAAGTGGGGTGTGGGGAGCCCTACCTGGAGAGCTCAGACGCTTAGGATGTGCTTCAGGAAGGCTGCAGAGAGGAGGCAAGAGAGGTTCAGAAGCAGGCCCTTCGATAATCCATCTGATTTTAGACAATCCAGGCCCCGGGGTGTCCCCACCCACACACCGCGAGCCTTCTGCCTCCCCTCCTCCCCTGTCCCTTCTGCTCGCTCGGCCCCTCACCTTCATAGTTGATGCAGCCATTGCTGTCCTCGTGTCCTGCCAGAACAGTCTCCACCTCCTCTTCAGTCATCTTCTCTCCTGAGCCCCAGACATAGCATTTTAGTCCCTGCCCTCCCTCCCTCCCTCCCTCCCCAACCAGGCCTTTCTCTTCTGGGTGGTACCTTCTCTTCTCCCACCCTTGGAAACTTGCTCATAGCAACAGAACCCCAAAGGGATCCTCTCCTTGTAATGGTAACAGTTCGAATGTGTCCCTGCATCTTGCTTCCCGTTTCATCTGCATTAGCACCTGGTGAAAGCTTTGACAGAGGGAAAGTGAATTCCAGAGGGTTAAGGGGCTACCAGATCACGGAGCACAAGCATCTCTTCCACCACAGAACATCAGGTTTTCCACCTCATCCCCTTTCCTCTGTCCTTCGGGAGGTATCTGCATGTACCCTCACTTCACCTCCTGCAGGAAGAAGCCCTTCAGATTCTCCCCCCATGGCTCTGACTTTCTCAGTCTCCTGCCCATGACCTATGGGCCGATAATCCTTCCCTGGCTCTGCCTACTTGGCTAACCTTCTTGGTCCACTCCCTCCTCTCCAACCCACAGGAGGTCTGGTCCCTGCCTCACCCAGGGTGGTGAGGACATGTCTGAGCTCTGCTCCCATGACTTTGCCGTTCCCCTCTTTGTCAAACACCCGAAGCCCCTCCAGGTAGTCCTCATATGTGCCTTGGTCCCGGTTTTTGGCTACGGCCTGGAGCATGGGCAGGAAAGTCTCAAAGTCCACACGCCGGGACTTCAGCTCTAGAGGTTAGAAAGGAGAGGGAGAGGTCACTGTAGAGTCACCTTGCTCCCAGCTCCCATCCCTACCACAAAGGCTTTCATCCTGTTCAACATTCAGTTCGTTTTTCTACCCGGAGTCTGACAGTTTTTGAAGTCCTGAGACCCACCCCAGCATCCTTTGTCACCTTGCCAGCATTCCTCGGTTCCACCACCACCCCGAAAACCCGCACTGTTCCAGGCGTCCCCCTCACCATCACTCTTGGGGTTCCCCAGGACCCTGAGCACCTCGGCGTTGGTGGGGTTCTGGCCCAGGGCCCTCATCACATCCCCACACTGACCGTACAGGATCTTGCCATCCCCTACTCGATCAAACAGCTCAAAGGCCTCCTTGAACTCTGAAGTATAAGAAGAGGTCAGGGTTGGGACTCGGGGTTCCCATCACCACCCCTCCCCCACCCCTGACAGAAAGGAGGTTCAGAAACTATGTGCTAGAGCTGGGCAGAATAGGGGACACAAAGACCACTAGCATGGAAGTTTTCAAGGTTGGGACTGGGGTCAGGGGAATAGAAAGAGGATCTGACCAGGGGCTTGGGACTAGACGGTGGAGCTTAAGGGACCAGCTTCTCCTCACCCTCCAGCTGGTCCTTGTTAAACTCGATCTGTGGAAGAAAAGAGCAGGTGAGGAGGGATGACAGGGCTCATTCAATCTCTCTCCAGCACTCCTCCCAACCAACTGGCAGCCACTTCTGGGGAGGGGCCCAACAAGACCAGGCGGGGAGCCCAGCTACCTCAGTCCCATTCCCAGCTCTGGACCTTGGGAGAATCCCAAGAGGAGGAATTATGGGGGGGAGGGCTTCCTGGGAACAGGGTTAATCCCATGCCACCTGTTTCCCTCCCTCCAGTGCCCTGAGCTCTGCATCCCTCACATAACTGGGGACTGAACAAAGGCTAAATTTACCCCTGGCCCCCAGCTGTGATTGTCTAACAAGTCTGTCCTCTTCAGCCTTCCCTCCTGGGGTTCAGGGCTGTGGCTTTTAGAATTGAACTGTCAGCCAGGAACAGGCACCAGTGCCCTCTCTTCACCTTGAAACTGTCCTCAGAACCCAGATGTTCCCCATCTCACGGGTCCCTGCCTCCAGCAGGGGGTCAGTGAGAATGTGTGTACGTACCCACACACATGTTATAGGTCAGAGGGCGAGAACAAAAAAGAACAGCAGAGTCATAAGCCTGGATGCTTCCAAAGGGGGGGACTAAGAGAAATCTCTAAAATCTGTCCAGTGCTCCCTGATTCCCTGTCTTCTAGATGCCCCCAAACCCCCTAGGCTGTTTCCCACCCTGTATCATCCCTTCCAAATTCTTTCCTCACTCTCCCGGGACTCACCACCACTTTGGAGAGATCGATGGGGGGCTCCTGGGTTTTCTGAGGGGGGGGGGGGGCAGCTGGAGCTGGCTCAGCCTTGGTCTTGGCTGGAGGGGCCCCTGCTGCTGGTTTGGCAGCAGGCTTGGCAACAGAGGGTCCTGCTGGTTTCTTCATGGGAACATCCTTCTTGGGAGGCATGATGTCCGGTGGCCAAAGGACAGTGTGCCGATGGGGGCACCCATCTCTGTTTAAATAGCCAGGGAGTCTGGGATGTCAAGGGGCGGGGGCAGGGGCAGGGAGCCAGTTGGCGGTGGGGAGGGTGAGGTAGAGGAGAGATATGCTGGCCTGCCCTGGACTCTTATGGTTCAGGACTCCTGCCCCAAGGTCTTCTCTCTTCTGTTCACTCGGCCCCAAATGCTGGCCAGAACAATGGCCCCTTTGGGGGCAGGGGAAGGAAGCCAGAGGCTGCCCAGAATGAGGGAGTTAATGTCCGGGGTAAGGATAGGATGCTTGCTGGTGACAGACACTGACACAGGGGGGTGAAGCAAAGAAGAGGACCCAGGTGCTTCAGGCCTCAACCCCCGACACAGAGTTGCCCCTTTCCTAGCAGCTTTAGATTCTTAAAGGCTGAGGCAGGGAGGGGGGCCTTGTGAGGTAGGATTGTTAAAGTGGGGTCTGGGAGGGGCACCTGGCTGGCTCAGTCAGGAGAACATGCAACTCCTGATCTCTCCGGGTTGTGGGTTCGGGCCCCACATTGGGTGTGCAGACTACTCAAAAATAAAATCTTAAAAAAACAGTGGGGTCTGGAAGCAGTGAAAGGTGAAAAAAACAAGCAGGTCCTCCACTCCGCTCTGACCACGGTTGAGAAGCAGGGGTGGTTGACCCACAGGCTAATAATCCCCAAATCTTACAGTCCCTGTTGCCCTCCCTCCCTCCCAGCCCAGAGCTGGAATTGTGCACAATACAGATAAAGAATAGTAACAGAAAGAGGAGTGTGACACCCCCCATTGTCTCCTGTTCCCAGTATTGTATTAAGGGTGAGGGTGGGGGCAAGGATCAAGTTTAACACCCACCACCCATACTCCCAAGGAAGGAACCCTTTTCCACAAGCCCACGGTCATTCAAGTCCGACAAAGGCAGGGTGCCTGCTGAACTTGCAGGGACTCACTCTGTGGTGGCACCTGAGGGGAAGGGCAGGCCCTGAGAGGCAAAGGGCCTAAATTCTAAAGTCTCTAATAAAAAGGATGTGCGAGGTCCTATGGGCTCTCCGGGTACTTAACCCCTAACCAGAGAATAATAAAAACCCTGACACTGGTGCCAGGTCCCAAACCTTGATGGGGACACCAGGGTAGGGTCTAAGTCAGAGGTGGGTTGGGAGAGGATAGAGGTTGCTGGCTATTTTGTTCTAGGGATAAGGAAGGAAAAGGATTTAGGCAGCGTTCTGAGGAAGAGAATAGTGATTACACTTAGACCCTGGAGTTCAGAGAGCTGAATCTGTCTCCCACTTGCAAAAAATGCGTCTGAATCTCATCACTGAACATTGTCCCATTTTAGAAAAATCAGAATCATTCCACCCTCCCAGAATACATCACACACACACGCGCGCGCGCACACGCACGCACGCACGCACACCTTAAATCAAGCTTAAATAAAGGAAAGAGTCCCTCCCCAGCTCCCAAAAACTTACCCTGCGGGGTCCAGGTAAAGGCGGAGGCGGGGCACTGGGAGGAGGCTGCGGGCCCCGAAGGGTTAACTCCAGCGGCCTCGAGGCATGCCGGGAGTCGTAGTCCTCGAGCGCCCGCGGGCTCACGGGAAACGCGGCTCTCTAGCTGGAAGAGGACGCCCAAGCAGTGGCTTCCGGCAGGTGGCGGTAGTTGGTGACTCAGGCTGTTTTGGCGCTTCTCTTGTCCCGGAACTAAAAGGCAATGAGCAATTTACAGTCCCCTCCCCTGACCCTAAAACCGTGCGGGGGGTCCCCCCCGGATGTCTCCCTTGCCCAGCCGTGCGTTCCCCGTTTAGCGTGGGCTGGGGTATGTTCCGGGATCGGCTGGTGGGAGAACGCCGAACCAGGGGGAAGGGCAAAGCTGCCGCCGGCCGAATGGAAGGCGCCGTGGCAAGCGCTCACTGCCCCGGTGCGGTCGGCTTAGCTTAGCCTCGCGGTTTGGTAGTAAGGGCAGAGGCCACTGAGTTGCTGTGTGACTTGGAACAGTAACTCCAAGGTTTTTCTTTTTCTTATCTTCTTTTTTTCAATGAGCTGGTAGTTGAAGTAAATGTTAAGATTTGGAATTAAGCATGGTCACCTGCCCCAGTTTCTCCCAAGTTGAAGTTTCTCCATACTGCGGCCGGGACCTCGCGGGTCCGCCTGGAATGGAGGCTTGACCGTCCAGCCCTTTCAGTCTGTGACATCTCTGCCAGCATTGGACACCTCATTCCCCAAACCATTATCAGAGGTCCCCCCCTGTGCTGGGAGGGAAGGCCCTGGTTCAGTAAGCGCCCTGGCCATGCCCCTGGGGCTGGAGGCTGGGGCTACCTGGGCGTGGAGGCAGAGAGGTTCAGAGTAGAAAGCCCACGCAAGGTCGGGAGGGTGAGGTATAAATAAACTTTATGGGCAGTAAGTGATGTTTGCTGGTTGGGGCAAGCTGCTCGGAAGAGTAAAAATGTTAGCAGCTATCCCCGGAGGCCTCCACCGAGCCCTTACCGCTTGAGGGGCTAAATTATCTCAGGCAGCAAAGGGAACTTAAGAGAATGGGCTCACACCACTCAGTTTAGATTGGAACCCAGGTTCTACCAGGTATCTGCTGGTAACCTCTGGCAAATGTAGTTACCTCTGTGTGCCTTAGTTCCCGCATCTGTAAAATAAGGATAATAGTACCTAGCTCATAAGGCTGTTGGGAGAAAGAGATGTGTTAGTATTTGTAAAATAGAATGGGCCTGGCACAGAGTTAAGTAGTATGTAAGTGTTTGTGAAATAAATTTCCTTCACTCTTCCCAATATATGAAGTAGTTGGTATTTCCCCATTTTATACCCATAAAGGATCACTGGACCTGAAGAAATGCAGCAAGAAGAAATACGTTTCTCCTAAGCGTTTGGTTACAAGGCTGGGAAAGAGCTGTATCACAAATGCCTTTTTGCGTCTTTCATCATGTCAGCAGTAGTTGATTTGGAAAATGTGGTTTATCTAATTTTTTTTCCTCTTCCCCTTGGTCTAGCTGTAGCCCTCTTTTGGCACTTTGTCAAGTAGAAGCGGTTATGGCATCATCTGACTTTCTAGCATTTTTGTCTGCTTTATAAGGAAGTAGTGCAAAGAGAAAATATGAAGGCTCTTGGCAAACAGATTGGAGGAATGGCCTTCATTTTTTGTACTGTTCTTGTCTTTTAATCGTAAATAATGCAAACTGTACTGAACATGATCTTAACCGGGCATAGGTGATTTCTACAACATGTATGTGGATTTTCTGTGACAAATGCCTCTCTCTTCTCTCCCCGCATAGCATGTGAGTTGTATGTTTTTAGGGATTGCATATTCTAATATTAGTCTCAACATAAAATAATTAGAAAGGGCATGTCTTTAAAAGTAAAAGAAAAATACACATTAAAAAACCTAGGAACAGGGACGCCTGGGTAACTCAGTCGGTTGAGCATCCGTTGAGCATCTGACTCTTGATTTTGACTCAGGTCATGATCTCATGTGGGCTCCACTCTGGGCTCGGGGCCTGCTTAACGTTCTCTCTCTCCCTCTGCCCCTCCCCCCTGCATGCCTGTGCATGCACTTTCTTTCTCTTATAAAACAAAACAAACAAAAAAACTAGTAGAACAACTTTAGGAATTTCACGGCACTATAGATCTGTGGTTACTTAAATAATTGTGGGTTCACCCAATAGAGCTTAACTATAACTGTGGGTTCACCCTATAGAGCTTAACTAGCTCTTTAAACACTAGCTAATGTGTTAAGGTGCATAATAGTTTAGGAAGAGAGAACACTATTTCCTAAGTAAGTAGAGAATTTGTTAGGAAAAATGTCTTCAGTCCTTTGGCATTTTGACCAGGAAGTGGTATTCATGGTAACCCGTAATAGAAAGAAGGAGGATAATAAGGATGTTTTATGATACATGGGTAGTTTATAAAGTCTTTTCCAAGTCCCATTTTTTAAAAAGATTTTATTTATTTGAAAGAGAGCAAAAGCGGGGCGGGGAGGGGCAGAGGGAGAAGCAGACTCCCCGCTGAGCAGGTAACTGGATGTGGGACTTGATCCCAGAACCCTGGGATCCTGGCCTGAGCAGAAGACAGACGCTTAACTGACTGAGCCACCCAAGTGCCCCAAGTCACATTTTTATAAGCTCACACTAGACGCAAGATACAAGCAGAAAAATAAATTTTATGGTAAGTACGCTAGCTTCATTTTTTTAATGCTCTAAAACAGTGGTTCTCAGACTTAGCTGTTCTTCAGAATCTCCTGGGAGCTTTGTAAACAGACAAACTTCCAGACTCTGCCCTCAAAGATTCTGCCTCTAGGTCTGTGTTAGGGCCTGGGAATCTATTTGAAATATTTTTAGCTACAGAAAGGACAGAGAAACTAACATAGGTAACTGCAGCTTTAATAAGAGGAGTGATCCTTTCCAAATGTGCATTTGATCATGTCATCTCCCTACCTAAAATCCTTCCATGTGTTTTGATAAAGACTAAATCTTTAGTTGGCCCACAAACCCCAGCAGCTTCAAACACTGACTGCTTGTCCCAGCCACACCTCTATACTAGCCACATCTGCTGGCTTTCAGATCTTCATGTTCCCTTTTCTCAGGTTGTTGCCATGTCTTTTCTGTCTCTGCCCCCTCTCCCTGCCAACACACACTCTTTCTAGGGCCGAGCAGAGTTCAGTGCCTGGCATGTACTGGGCAGTCAAATATCTGGAGAATGAATGGCTATCTGGATAAAAGGGAAGGGCCAAGGTTGGACACTGACACTAGTAAGTTACTTATGAGGAGATAGATTCGGGATTCAGGAGATCAAGAGAGTTCCCAGGTATTTTTACCCTGTAGTAGAACATGAGGTGATTGATTTGCTAAAAGAAGAAAGAGGAGGAGGTGGCTTGAGAAAGTCGTGAAGGTTTGAAACAGGTGTTACGAAAAGCAGGAGACGGCTTACTGGGGACCCCGTTACAGATATTCATTTGACATTTCCCGAGTGCCTGCTCTGTGCTCCCTGCATGAACTTGCTGAGCAGCATGGAGGGTGGTTGCTGTGGGAGATCGAGCTTGTAATGGTACCAACCCACGAGGGAGTGATTTCCTCCCTCCAGCAGTACTCAGCTGCTTGGATGACTGAGCTAGAGCAGTGTTGTGGAGTAGGGATGATGGATGACCATGGAAGTGATTGAGAGTCTGAATCCAAGAGGGTTTGTGGTCTGGGCCACATAGAGAAATGAGTATAAAAGTGGCCTATTGGGGCATCTGGCTGGCTCAGGTCATGTTCCCTTTTCTCAGGTTGTTGCCACGCACAGAGCGTGCGACCCTTGATCTCAGGTTGTGAGTTCAAGCCCTACATTGGGCGTAGAGCTTACCTCAAAAAAAAAAAAAAAGTGGCCTATTAGATTGAGAGACTATAGAAAGTCACCAACAGGCTTGGGTCTCGAGGTTGAAGAAGTAAGATAGTTGGAGAAAATAGTGCATTTGAGATTAAAATTTCAAAGGATATAGGAACTAGGCTGAGTGGCCGTGAGAGTGAGTGATTGAAAGGGTAAGGAGGTGAAGGTTATTGGATCTGAGGAGAATGTTCCTTAGGGCTTTTTCAATGGCAAATAGCAAAAATCTGACTAAAACTCGCTAACCAATAAAGAGGATTTATTGGCTTATGTAATTGAAAAGTCAAGAGGTAGGGTGGGATTCAAGTTCATTTTGATCCAGAAATTTCATGACATCGCAAAGGGATTTTCTAATTTTCTTGTCACTGTCCTCCGTTTGTTAGCTTCTTACTTGGATTCCCCATATCTGGCTTAGCTGCACAGGTATCACATCCTTATACCACAAGAGGAAGAGAGGGAGCTTTTCTTTTTTAATTTGGAAATATTTATTATTAGTATTTTTAAATAGGCTTTACGTCCAACATGGGGCTTGAACTCATGACCCTGAGATTAGGAGTCTCATGCTCTACTGACTGAGCCAGCCAGGCACAGCAGAGTGAGCTTTTCTTCACCATTGGAATCAGTTCCTGAACTTCACTCTGACTAGACTGACTTAGAAAAATGCCCATCAACCCTTGAATTAATCACCATGACTAGGGAAATAACGTGCCCTGTTTGGCTTAGGCATGGGGTTTTGCCCGCCCCTGTGACAAGGAGGATGGTGTTACTCTGACAGGCCAGTCAGGGTTTGTCGGCCATTGGAGGTTTATTAGAGTCAGTCCAAATGGGGAGGAGTAGAAAGGACAATGGGGAGGGAACCTACATTGTCCACCACAGTGAGGAACTATGATGTCAATTATGGAATAACCTACATTATACACTGAAGACGCCAGGACGGCAGCAGTATTCAGGGTGCCATACCCTTCAGTAACTATTGAGTGCCCGTGTATTTAGTGAATGACCGAGATGAGAGAAGGTAGAGACAGTGTATCAGATTGGCATCAACTCCAAAGGAGCTGAGATTTTTACAGCTCTGAGAATAACAGTGGGGAAGCAGCATTGGGGTGCAAGGAGAATGTGGACCCCACCTCCCAGTATAAGAATATGGGGTTCACGGAAAGGAGCAGGCTCCCCTTGAGGGTGCTCCAGGTGAGTGAGGTCTCTTGGGAGGTGAGCCAGATTTCGGAGGAGGCCGGAGTGAGCTTTGTGTAAATAAAGGTGAAGCATTTTAAGGGGTAGAGTGGGTTGGAAGTGTTAGGTAGACATAGGTTTGCAGAGGTGATATAAGGCCCCTCAGATGCTCTCTTAGCTCCCCTTTATTCTTTGTACCTTTCTTATGTTCGGTTTTGTGTATATAATCACTCTATTTGCCTGATCCTAGATTTTTAATCCTTTTTCTTCTTTCTATTGCAGTATAATGGGCATGTAACATTAGTTTTAGGTGTGTAACATGGTTCTGTATTTTTATACATTGTGAGGTAATCACCACAATGAGTTTAATTAACGTCCATCACCCCACATAGTTAGAAAAAAATTTTTTCTTAGATGAAAACTTATCTCTAATCTTAGCAACTTTCAGATATGCACTACAGTATTATCAACGATCGTCCCCATGCACAGGTATGTCGCAGCTCCAGGACTTACTCATTTTACCCCTGGAAGTTGGTTCCTTTTGACCCTCTTTGCCTATTTGTCCTACAGTCGGAGCTGTCCCTCCCCTCCCCCCACAACCATTCTGTTTTCTGAATCTGTGAGCTCAGTGTTTTGTTTTTATTTTTTGTTTTTATTTTTTTTAAAGATTTTATTTATTTGAGAGAGAGAGAATGAGAGATAGCATGAGAGGGAAGGGGATCAGAGGGAGAAGCAGACTCCCCGCCGAGCAGGGAGCCCGATGCGGGACTCGATCCCGGGACTCCAGGATCATGACCCGAGCCAAAGGCAGACGCTTAACCAACTGAGCCACCCAGGCGCCCAAAGTGTTTTGTTTTTACAGTTAAGTGAGGTCGTACGGTATTTGCCTTTTTTTTTTTTTAAGATTTTATTTATTTGACAGAGAGAGACACAGCGAGAGAGGAAACACAAGCAGGGGGAGTGGGAGAGGGAGAAGCAGGCTTCCCATGGAGCAGGGAGCCCGATGCGGGGCTCGATCCCAGGACCCTGGGATCATGACCCGAGATGAAGTCAGACACTTAACGACTGAGCCACCCAGGCTCCCCATTATTTGCCTTTCTCTGACTTACTTCATTTAGCATAATGCCCTAGAGGTCCATCCATATTGTTGCAAATGGCAAGTTTTCCTTTTTTTTTTTAATGGCTAAATAATATTTCATTGTATGTATATGCCACATGATCCTAAGTTTTAAAATATGTATTCCTTAATCACGTTAGCTTTTCCTCCTTATGTTAGTCACCTCATGGCCTTAAAGAAGGCTGCTTCAGCTCCAGCCATCACATCCTTCCTACAGTGACCCAACCAGAAAGGAAGGAGGCAGTGAGGGCTTTCTTCTGTTGACACTCCAGTCCCCAACTGACTTCTTCTTACATCTTACTGACTAAAGCTGGGGCTACACAGAGCCACCCCAAGTTACAGGGGAGGCTGGGAAAGAGTATCCAGCAGAGAGGATCGTGATGAGCGCCCTGGGGCCAGCACACTGCCACCAGGAATGCTCTGGGATTCTGTATGTCGGCAAGAGGGGAGATGGCTGTCGGGCAGACGACTGTACTGCTGCAGCCAGTGGACCACAGCACGCTGGGCCAGTAAAGCCGCATTTCAAGAGAGTAGTATTTGTGGGGCACCTGGGGAGCTCAGAACCTATGACTCTTGATCTTGGCTTGTGAGTTCGAGCCCCACATGGGGAGTAGAGATTACTTAAATAAATGAAACTTTAAAAAAAAAGGGTCGTATTTGCAGACGTCGGTGACAGTGTACCCGTATGCAGTGGTATCTGCCTTTCTCCGGAAGAGGCAAGCCTCTTGTATGTGTTAGTGTCCGAGGCCAGCTGTTTGAGAAGTAACAGACATACATTTGTTTAATTCTTGTGATTAATGACCCTTAATTTGTTCCATCTTTGTCTCTACAGGTACAACAATGTACTGAATTATGTCTCGTCTTGCATTTAATATGTAGATCAGTACCTCCTCCCTTATATATCCTGAACTGGCAAAGGTTGGGAAAGAGTAGGGACCTTCTGGATGGGAGAATTTGTGCCATGTCCTCTAGTTTTCTGGAAATGTAATTACTTGAAGTGATGAACTAGATCAAGAGTGCTTCTTAAAATCACACATTGCAAGATCCCTGTCTGTATTATCTTTTTTTTTTAAAGATTTTATTTATTTATTTGACAGAGAGACACAGCGAGAGAGGGAACACAAGCAGGGGGAGTGGGAGAGGGAGAAGCAGGCTTCCCGCTGAGCAGGGAGCCCGATGCGGGGCTCGACTGGGATCATGACCTGGGCCTGGGCCGAAGGCAGACGCTTAACGACTGAGCCACCCAGATATCCCCCTGTTTGTATTATCTGAAGCCAGCTAGACCAGCAGGCGTTGGGCCACATGCCCAGTATTGAACAACTCGATAAGACACTTGAGAAATGGGGCGCCTGGGTGGCTCAGTTGGTTAGGCAACTGCCTTCAGCTCAGGTCATGATCCTGGAGTCCCTGGATCGTGTCCTGCGTCGGGCTCCCTGCTCAGCGGGGAGCCTGCTTCTCCCTCTGACCCTCTTCCCTCTCGTGCTCTCTATCTCTCATTCTCTCTCTCTCTAATAAATAAATAAAATCTTAAAAAAAAAGACATGTGAGAAATGTAAGTTCCTCTACCCTGTGTTTTTTGGGTTTTCCTTCCTTAAATAATTTTCTGGGTTGGGGGGAGGGCAGCTGTGTCCTCTTGCTCATGGTCAAGGCTTGAGAATCCTCTTAAGTTGATGGGAAGGAAACGGAGACAGCAGAAGACCAACAGTGAGTACACAAGAGTTACTGAAAAAAATAGGAGCTTCGTTTATGGGTGGCATGAAGTTTAAATTCAGCTTTTGCTAATAAGGTGAATTGTGACACTGAGTTTAGTTTTTTTCCCCTTGTGGAACTGAGTTTAGTTTTTTTCCCCTGAACCTTTCCTCTCCTCCCAGTGTACAGCATCCTAAGGTTTATATTCTTCCAGAGAAGATGATAAAGCATTCTCCTTCCAAGCCCCCCGCCAAAAGCCGTTCTGAAGTCACCTGGTCCACTGAGCCTGTTTTCAGTAATCTGCTCTTCCTCCCCCCCACCACTCTCTTTCAATGTGGTAGTTCGACGGAGTGCGGCTTCTCTAGCTGCCAGTCCAGGAAGGGTCCAAAGGGAGCAGAGCTCAAAGTGAGCATATCTGAATGGTTAGAAAATATTTCTCATTTTGCAGCCCATCATGTAGGCCTGAAGCCTTTGTGGATATGGTGACACTTGCCACTAAGACACACCGTGGGCCCATGCTGGGGCTCA